AGTCCAGATTTTGTATCTATGACTCTGATCATTCTTAACAGAGTCAATAGATACTGCTAGACTGGAATGGCAGTCTGAGCTGAGACTGTAACATTTAACCCTAAAGATATTAAATAGGAGTCATCAGTGACATCTCTGTTGTGCCTATACAGTATAAGAAGTAAATCATTTGGTTAAATGAACTTTAACCGGAGCAATTGAGTCTTAACAAAAAATAAATACACTTCTGATGTAAGCGAAGATTCAGTCAGTTTGCTCAATTGCTGGTGTCTCCTCTGTAGGTCAAGTATTTGTATGTTCTAGTATTGGCCCCAGTTTGAAGTGAGTTTTTGTAATCTAGCCTGATATTGAAGAGCAGTACTGGCAGGTGGGGCTGGGGGGAGAGTGGCTGTGATGTCAAAGATCCTTTGGATACCTGTTTGGGTTCCCTGCAACTATTTCAAAGAATAGGAGGGAATTTATTGTGTGGAGTGCTTTGACACATTTCCGAAGTGATAAGCCACTGTATCCAAGGCAAGTATTATTTATTACGGTCAGTGAGGTATGGGAGAATTGCAACAGATCACACAAGGATCAGAGCCAACAGCAAATCAAAGAAAAAATCAAGCAAAATAAGGAATTGGTGATTGAGAGATAGACAGCCCGAGATTACTTGCATACTGGCTGGTTGCTTTGTTTCTCAGCTTGCCAGAACTGGGGTGTAACTCCCCCTTGGCTCACTGCCAAGTGAAATTTTCCAGATCTGCAGTGAGTGTTTTTTTTGTTTTGCTTAATTATTAATTATTCCTGTATTTATTACTAAAAATAGCAACAGAATAGCCTTTGGATATAGGCCAATTCCATTCAATTCTTGCTTTTTAAAAAAATGAAAGTTCTTTTGAGTTTCTGAAGGATTATATGCTAAGTGTGGTTTATTTAGCATCCCACAAGTGTTCCCTTTGGAAATGCCCTTGGCAATAATCATACAAAATACATGAGAAAAGAGGAAATGTAAGTTGATTTTTGTCTCCCATAGGAAATGTTGTAAACTATATAATTGCTGAGTCGATTTATGCCCTCTCCTCCATCTGCTACAGACTCGTGAGTTTGCATTTGAATTAAGTATGTGAAACAATTACATTCAAAGCCAGCATTATGCAGCTGGCCTTAGATATTGGCAATCTTCTTCCTACAGTACTTTGAAGCTATTGTCTTCACTGGTACATTTGTAGCTCCACTCCAATTGCACTGATGATTAAGGACGATTTAACCCAACATGTAAACTGAACTGTCATAAAATGCACTGTGGACAAATGTAGTTAAAATTTTAAAACAGCTTTGGTGCCACAAACTAGATAACGTATGTTCTTGCAACCAATGTGAAAGATATTATGTATCCCTGTACATGGAATAGTATTATAATTTTTTATCTAAATCAAGTGTTTGCTAGACAGACACTGAATTTTTGCCCATGGTATTTTGATGGGACGAGTTATTTCAGTTCCTGCACCACTTGAACGGATGGTACACACACTTAATTTCAGAACCTGATTGGCTCCTGTTTGTGCCTCCTCACCTCAGGCGCTGACAGCATCACCATCCATGGTTGCACACTCCATCTTGCTAAGCCAGTCTGGAACCTTGGTGCCTCAGCAACATCACCCGGCTCCGCCACTGTCTGCACCACAGGCCGCCGAAACCCTCATACATGCTTTCATTAAATCGAGGTTTGACTATGCAAACTCACTGCTTGTCGGCCTCCCCAACTCCTCCGTCCATAGGCTGCAGATCATCCAGAACTCTGCAGCCCATGTCCTCTTCCGCACCAGGCTCCATGACCCTATCATCCCCATCTTCGCCCGAACTCCACTGGCTTCCCATCACACAGAGGATACAGTTCATGATCCTGGTCCTCACCTTCAAAGCCCTCTACGGTCTTGCTCCCCCCTACCTCTGCGACCTCCTAACCCCCTACCATCCTGCTCACTCACTCCGCGCAGCGGGCTCCGGCCTGCTTCACATCACCCACCTTGCTCACCCCACTATTGGCGGGCGGGTCTTCTGCCACTTTGCCCCCATCTTCTGGAACTCCATCCCGCAGTCCCTCCATCTCGCTTACCTTCTTCAAGACTGACCCATGTCGAGACCCTCCTCTTCGAATGTGCTTTTGATCTCCCTGCTTTCTCCCCTGCCCTCCACACTCCCCGACCCCCAGCTGGGATCCAAAACTCTGTCTGTCCAGCGCCTTGGGATGTCCTCCCGACGTGAAAGGCGCTTTAGAAATGTAATTTTTGTGTTTCTGTTTGAATTTCTGAAACTGCAAACAGCAAGACAGCCAATGCCGCTTAACAGTTAATGGAATTTCATTGACCTGAACATTGGTTCTAATTGAAATAGCACGTATTGGAAACTCAGCCTTTTACTGTCAGATTCTTGACCTCAGAATTGGTGTATGGGGTAAATTACTGTCAAACCACCTATCTTTTGGGAGCATAAATTGCAAACCAATGCTCAGTGAGTGCAAAATTGGCTGTCTACAAAATACTCGGTCACTACACTTTACAGTAAATCTTGTGAAGCACTTTGAAACGTTTTGACAATGTGATGAGGTGCAACATCAAATGCAAGGATTATTATATAATTCTCAATAAGGCACAGCCTTCAAGAGCTTAACTCCAATGCAAACCAAAGCCTTCTTGAGCCACAATTCCACAAACCAAAAATTGCAAAAACATGAATCTAGTTATGCCTGTTGATCATCTTCACGTCATTGAACAGCACAGAAAGGCTCAAAGGGACATACATCCATATATAGAGGAAAATATTGTACCTATACCCCTCCCTGATAAATCAATAAATAAATAATAATCCTTGCATTTCATATAGCACCTTATCACGCCTTTGAGACATCTCAAAGCACTTCACAGAATGTACTGTGAAGTGAATTGACTGTATATTTGTGGGTGAAGTCTCAAGGAAGTTCAGTGAGAATGGCATATTGTCATGCACATTCAGTTACTGCTCTGCATGTTGAATGACAGCTCAAGAGATCATGAAGACCACATAACTAGACAGAGATTGCTGAAGACCCGACCCATGCCAGCTGGATTTACTCACTGGAAAATAGGCCTCCTTTGCACCTGCAGTCGAACACGACTGCTACCACAGAAATCTCACATACCACAGATATCGTTGCTACAGAGATGTGATGTATCTTTTTTTCAGGATGAATAGAATGTGAAAAACAAAATGCGAATTTCTAATGGAATTTATTGAGTTAAAAATCCCACAACCCAGAGAAACGCCATTCCGCAAGTAGATTGTGGCTGTGGGTCAGTGTGATGTAACTCTGTTAGCCCCCCACCCATTTGTAGAACTCAGAATCCTAATTATATAAAAAGTCCCCATAACTATAGATTTATTTAAAATATGATAGATTGCAACACAATTGCAATCTCTATACACTTTATAAGGCTATTCTGCCACCACATAATAGTGAGCTGGTCTTCAAATGTATGTGGAAACATTTTGGTAAAACTTCAGTAAGAAGCCTGGGAGTAATTAGCCAGTGATTTTATTTGTAATGACATCAGTTGATCAAATCCAAGTCTCTCTTCCCCTTTTATGATATCCTTTAATGCCATTTTACAAAACAATTATTTAATCCCTCTCGGTCTTATACACACAATAACACCACCACCTTAATTCATTCGAATCATCAAACCTACTAAATATAGTGACTAATATTTTGAATATCTCTCTGTGTTAGTTTTTACTATTTTCCCAGGGTTTTTTTTTCAGTTGCGCTTTAGAATCACTAATGGAGGCAGCTGTAATTTTGATCAGTGAATGGCAACTAATGAGATAAGATGTATTGATAACATTTCCCATTAAATCTATGAGCTCACTGTTGTGTTAATGTACTGATGCTAACTGCTGTAGTTATTTTGAGTTGCGGTGTACCATGTCAAAGCTTTGAAAATCTTTTCAACTGCTTTATGTCATGCTCTGCATAAGAGTCTTCACAAGACAATAGGAATTATCATATCACTTGACTGTCAAGAGAAGGTTGTAACTCGTATCTTATTTTCTGAGCAAAGCATGTTGCGTAGTGCTTTATGCCACCAGACACTATGCTAAAACTTGATAACTCGAGTTTTCTATATGATACAATGCACAGGAAGTCCAATACAAAGAATGGTATTTTGTTTATTAATCTGCCATGAACAAACACATAATTTTGGCAGATTACATAGGTATGCACATCCTCTGGGAGAATCTTCCCTATCCACCAGCACAGCTTGTACACTGTCCCTTTTGTGCTGATCAGCAGCTAACTTACCTCACTTACGTCTGACATGGCTTTGTTGAGCCAGGCTAGAGCACATGTGAGTGGGTTGTCAGCTTTTACTAAGAGTGCTCCATATATATATAGATGAAAACAAATGAGAAGTAGATCCTTGTATTTACATGTTGCAAAGTACTGATGAGTGACTGCCAGATGCAAGGTATTGTTTATAAGTTGTCTAGTTAACCTGCATGTGTGAAAAATTCTAGTTTATTTATTTCTCTATTTATTTACTTACGTTTATTTCTCTACATCTGTAAAGTACAAATTGTGCCTTTTATAGCAAAGAAGAATGTACCAGGCTAATATTAAACATATGTTTTGAGGACTAGGTGGCTTTGTTAAATTTTCTTATTTCTTGTTGCTAAAAATATTGGAATTCCTTAAATAGCAATCAGGCTTTGTAAGTCACCAAAATGTACCATCATTTAACATCAGCAAACCCAAACCTCCTTACATTCCTAATGCTGAACCCCACCAGATCAGATTAGAGAGGTGCACACACAACAATATAATCCTAGGATTCTCTGACTGAATCATCATTTTTTGAAGCAAAGCAGAGATAGGAACAAATTCACAGGGATTAAGCTAAATGAATTTGTTTTGATAAATTGCTATTTGCTGACTATGAAATTGCTGCTGATTTGTAAAATCCAATGCATTTCTGTTGCAGGGTACAAGCCACCAAGCTCATGTCTTTGGATTGAAGCCTTTCACCGTCTATAATATTCACGTGCTTGCTATGAATAATGCTGGGCAATTGGCAAGTCCGTGGGCTTCTGTTCGCACGCTAGAAGCATCACCCAGTGGACTTAGCAATTTTACTGTTGAGGGGCGAGAGTGTGGCCATGCACTGCTATTGAAATGGGCAGAACCTACTAACCCAAACGGAATAATCAAGGTAAGCTTATTTAAGACTCAAGCAGCCCTGATCCTATTAAGATATGGATACACTCATGTTTTGTTAGGAGGTGGGGATAATGGTCAAATCAGCCTTCGTGTCAATCTTGTTAGTGTGGATATGCTTCTGCAACTTCAGCAAATGTCATTGCAAGGATGGATATGTGTCAGTGTAGTCTATTTCCACTCTGCAGACAGGGAAGAGACAGAGAGCAGCAAATAAAGAGAATTTTAGTGATCTCAAATTCAAATATGAGAGCACTGGAAGCAGATACCAATAGGGATCTATCTGATGGAAAGCAGTGAAAATTTCTATTTTGTTCTATTATTGTCCAACACACACTCTGAAGTCCCTACACCTTTTTATGAGTAGGTGTCAGACGTGGAACTCTCAGTCTGGTTTGGATACTCTTAATCTTTGTGACAGATTTCCTCGTGTGTCAGTCACCCGGCTGACAAAAAAACTGATTGTGCAAGCAAAAAAAGGGTGAATTTACCATTTGTTATAACGTTTTTTCTGTTCTGCAGACCTACAGTATATTTAGTGATGACAATTTGGAGTTCGGTGGTTTGACACGGCAGTTCTTATTCAGACGTTTGGAGCCTTACACGGTCTATACACTGATGCTTGAAGCTTGCACTAAGGCTGGGTGTACACGTTCCCTGCCCCAAGCAATAAGGACAGATGAAGCATCACCAGCTTCACAGCCTGCACCTGTTCCCCAGTCAGTGAACGCAACACAGGTCGAAGTGAGGTGGATTAGACCGGTGAATGCAAATGGAAAAATAATTCAGTATGAACTGATGCGCAGGAGCAGCAGACAAACTGGGTACTACCAGGGTACAAAAGCAATCTTAGTAGACGAGGAGGCAGTGTTCAGAGAATATGATACAGGCAAAGATGAATATGTATTCATTGACTGTAATTTAAAACCATGGACAATATATGAATACAAAGTACGCAGTTGGAACTCTGTTGGCCATGCAGACAGCCCATGGGTGGTTGTGGAAACCAGACAGGCTGCACCTTCTGGCCTTGCTGCCCCTAAAGTTCAACATGTACCAGATAATCCTCATAAGCTAGTGATTTCCTGGTCTTCTCCAGAAAAAATCAATGGCGTGCTTCAGTCCTACAGACTACAAAGGGATAACATTCTTTTTCCTTTCAGCTTTGATGCTTCAACATTTAATTATACAGATGACAGCCTGATGGCATACAAGGTGTACAACTATGCAGTCATTGCCTGTACAATGGGAGGCTGTTCAACCAGTGAACCTGCTAAAATGCGGACACTGGAAACAGCTCCAGCTTTTGTGAATCCTCCGACAATCCAGACTATTAGTCCAACGCAGATCAATGCTTCGTGGACAGCGCCAGTGATACAAAATGGGAAGATTTCAGAATATAGACTCCTTGTGAATAACAAACTGTCCCACTCTGGACAGAGGTTGTCTATGCTAGTGTCTGGCCTGCAGCCCTACACGCAGTACCACTTTGTCCTGATTGTCTGTACAGACGGTGGTTGCACCTCCAGCTCATCTGTCAGTAATTGGACAACGGAAGCCCCACCATCTAACATGGGAGCTCCAAGGTTACAGGTCACAGGATCAGAGTCGATTGAAATTACATGGAAACAACCGGCCATTCCCAATGGGAAGATTAGAAGTTATGAGCTGACGAGGGACGGTGTGCTCATCTATGCTGGCCCAGAAAATCGATATCACGACTTCACTCTGACTCCAGGTGTGGAGTACAGTTACACTGTGGCTGCCAACAATAGCCAAGGAAGCACCATTAGCCCCACTGTAAGAGCCACGACTAATCCTTCAGCACCTTCTGGAGTGGCTCCTCCCATGCTACACGCCTGGTCCGCTAGTGACATTCTGGTAAACTGGGAGCTGCCTGCTCAGACAAACGGAGAGATTGTGAACTATACAGTACTCAACCATGATTTTACCACAACTGAGATTATAGATTTCATATTTACCCCGCCTCATGCTTCTTTTTTGAGCCGATCATTAAGCTTGACAGGCCTAAAAGTGTATTCTAGGTATGTGTTACTTTAAGAGTAGGATTAATCTATTGTGTGAGACTTGCTATTAAGATTCAAACCAGAGACAGTAACAACAACAACAGCAATAACAACAACTTGCATTTATATAGTGCCCTTCACACGGGGTAATGTCCCAGAGTGCTGTAAGATATAAGATGAACAAAACTTGGTGATGCAATTAAACCATACACATACACAAACACAAACACAGAGAGGAAGAAAATGCAATACAGAGAATGGACCAGATAATAATAAAAAAAATAATGTTATTATTAATAATAATAATCCTTGCATTTAATATAGCACCTTTCACATCAGAATCTCAAAATGCTTCAAAGGAATTTCTGTGAAGTGCAGTGACTGTGTACATTATATGTATACAAGGCAGCAAATTAGTGCACAACAATAGCCCGCAAACAGGCATGAAATCATTGACCAATTTTATCTGGGGGATTGTTGGGCAGGACAACAGGAAAAGCTCTCCTCTTTTCAAATAGTGCCACAGGATCTTTAGTGCCCGTATCTGAACAGGCAGACAGGAACCTCAGTTTAACGGATGTTATGCTAGAACTTGTAGAGATGGATTGATGTTTAGAAATACAAGCTGCCAGGTTCCATTTAACAAGAATTGAGAACCCATATTTTGGTAATTACGGGCTTTCACACCTCAGTGGAAATTTAGGACACACTGGAGTGACTAGTAATAGGTCTAACTCCCTTCTCAATATATGACACAATAGATTTGTTCTCTTTAAAACTCACTGACCTTCTTTATGTGAGCTTAAATGCTCAAAAACTTTAATAACAGAAAGTGTAGTTTCAATACTGAAATTGAATAGCATTGTGAACAAACTCACTTGTTCAAAGCTCTTGAGTTGGGCTCTACACATAAAGTGATCCTGTGAATTTTTCTCTCCAAGGTATGAAGTGCGCATAGAAGCATGCACAGTCCTTGGCTGTGCTTCCAGTGAATGGGCCTCCATACGAACTCTAGAAGCTCCTCCACGCTCACAGCCTGCACCTCTCATTGAGCTGGACAGAAATATAAAAGGAATCCGTTCGATGTTTCTCATTTCGTGGACCAAACCCCAACAGCCCAATGGTAAAATATTGTACTATGAACTATACAGAAGACAGGTACCACGTCTACCACTGGATGCAAGGATGACTTTTCTTTACAATGGCTCTTCAACATCATTTCAAGATGCCATGTTGCTCCCTTACACAGCATATGAATATCAGGTAAGAAGTCCTTTCATTATGGGACTCTCATTTGCACCTCCATTTTTGGCTCTGAATTGTTTTCACCTCACATTCTACCTGTGATAATGAACAGTCACAATGATTATAACATTGATTATAACATTGCAAAGGTTTGGCTCCCAGAGACCTTGTTATGAAAGCTAGGATCACACTATTAATAATAATAATGCTTGCATTTGATATAGCACCTTATCACGTCTTCGAGATGTCTCAAAGCGCTTTGCAGGATATTTTGTGGGCAAAATGCGGCAATCAATTGCACACAGCAGTGTTCAACAAACATTTGTAGTTTGAGTGACCAAATTATTCTTATTATTTTTTGTTGTTAAAGGGATTATTACCCCAGGAAAAGCGATCCGCCAATCGACTAACAACTGGGTTCCTACTTACTGCTAGGTAAACAGAAGCGTATGGAGTAAGGAAACTTGCCCAACGTTTTGTCCTGCCCAGGAATCGAATCCAGGTCCTCTCAATTGCAAGCCGAGTGCTCTGACAACTAAGATACAGGACTCGACAGTATTGTGTATTTTGTAAGGAGATTCCACACAAACAAATTTCCTTCTAGGGAACAAAACAATATCAGCTCTTCGGGCTTGGGCTCTCGCCTTAATAATTTTCCTGAATGCTAAATAACATTCAAAAAGGGAGGGAAAAACTTTTTTAGTGTTTAATAGTATGTTGCCTCTAAGGTCTACCAAATGCTTGTCGCTTCAGGAATCTTTTCAATACTTATTTATTTTAGGATTTCCCCTTTATTAAAAAACAACAACAAATTACTTTTATATAATAATAATAACAATCCTTGCATTTGATATAGCGCTTTATTATGTCTTCCAGACGTCTTAAAGCATTTCACAGAATATACTGTAAAGTGAATTGACTGTATTGACCTTATATAAGATCACGGGGCAGATGGCAAGGCCCTCTACCACTCGATCTCTTAACACTAATATCACACAACTTTTCGTGGGATCCTTTGAGCACTTTTGAAGGAAACTTTGGTTTTCAATAGAAAATGAAAGGCTCTGAACAGGGTGAAGAGTGAATGTAAAATTGAACCCAGACCTTTGCAGCACACGGAGAAGCAGCCCATGTACGTTACGAATTGTATTCTGTAAATATGATCTGGAGTACTACTTTCAGGTGCTATGCTAAAGTGGGAGAGATCACTAAAGAGGTTTAAACCCATTTTTACCAATATAGAGAATTAAGTCCACTATATGATTACTGCTAAGTCATCAAAGCATACAATGGTACAGCACAGAAACAATCCATCCAGGCCAATGAGTCTGAGCTGGTGTTTTTTCCTCCACATGAGCCACCTTTTCTAATCAACTCCTCTTCTTGCTCCTTGTACCCCTTAATATTCTTTTTAGAAGTATCCATCCAATTCCCTTTTAAAAGAATCCGCAGTCCCTACTTAAGTAGTGATAAATTAAACTTATGGCTTGTCTCGTCTGTATTTCCAGCAAGCACAAGAATCAAAGTCATAAATACACCTAGCCTGGCTATTCTGCTGTATGCTACTAACCTACCAAAAACAAAATTCTCAATCTTATCCTTCTTAGTCAGATGGTATAGTCTTGAATACACCAACTGTCTGCCAGTATGCAGAAGAGCACCTAACAATTTTCTCTTGATGCCCTTTCAACCCAGTTATAACTATTGAAACGTGCCCTCTAATAGAATAGCACCCTACCCTTGTAGACTTTGCATGAGACGTGGGACTTGTATCAGACACATTTTATTTTCTGTACATTTCATAGCAATGTAGTCAGCTAATTGTTTTATTTACAAATTCCCTCAGTTTACATTGTTCTTTTTCTAAAAGTCAGCGGAGAATATTTCTACCAGGGAAGGGATTTGTGCCAAGGTTGGAGATAAGCTGATATAATTCTGTTGATTATTTCTCCTTATTTATGAGGCATAATTTATGAGGCTTCAACATCAAAATAAAATGAGTGATGAATACCTATAGCTGAAGTAATAAATCAGGCTCAGTGAAAGCAGGGATGATTTTGATCGAATCTATTGAATTAGTTGCTGCCCTCAGCCATTATAGGTATCGGAAAGACCTTTTAAAGTCTGCCAGACTGTCTCCTGGGAATGTGATAATCATTCTATTACAAACCCATAGGAAACAAATTATAAACACACTGTCTGCCAGAGTTATCACTGCTGATTGCTCTTTTATTAAATGAATTTGATATTAAAGCAAATTCAGATTAACTTGTAATAATAAACGTTTTGTTTTACCATGATGGGACTCTAAGCATATTTGCGCCGTTCTTGGTAAAAACTAATAGTTAATCTATAATTCCCCTTACACAAATATGATTTTATCCCTTAGAGAAGAGCACCTGTAGTCGCATACCAGATACAAAATATAAAGTAGCATTTTGCCTATTTTATTCAGGGAATAGAAATGTGAGGGTGTTGTGTCAACTACCACTACTGCAATTTTCACCTCACTGAGTGGTTACATATGTTTCCTTAAGTGTAATTTATGCCACTGAGCACTCAGAATTCACAGAACGGCAGAGCTCTGTTACACGTTAGATGTTAAAAGCTAAATGATTACTTTGAACTTCAGCAGGTAATTCAGTGCTGAAATTAAAAAGGTGTTCTCGAAGTCTGAAGCTAAATTTTTGATCGATTCCTTATAATGGGAGACAATTAAATTAAGAAGAGCATTTCAGTCCCAGTTTCGAAAGACAATTCTACAGATCGAACGAAGGTGGCAATGAAATAGTCTTACGTCTCATTTATACAACACATTTAGTGTTGATGCAAAGTTCGCATTGAACGATGCTAAGAGTTAAGAATAATGGAACATCGATTTGATTCCAAAACTCCTCCTGATCCACTTCCAGAAGGTATTTTCAGTATGGAATCGATTCCATTGACTAGTATAAATCCAGTTATAACTTCAGACAATTTGATCTTACATTGCAAAATACCCGGTTCCTACTCTGCTGATAAATAAGGACCCCATTTGTTGTAACTCCCGAGGCTGAGGTTTACCAGTTTCAATAAAATGCCTTAATTGCTGTTTCTAAAAATATTTTCACCAGACACTATTTGCAAGTTGTAGCATTGGAATAACTTGTGACTTTTGTCTTATACCTGCAAAAGCTTTCATTAGGACTTCAGTTTTCCTCTTTGTGCCAAATTGTGCTGTGGTCCCATAGCTAGTAGCAACTAGGCAATAGAAGTTATCATAATCCAAAAAGTCCCTCATTTATTTTTTTAATCAGATTACAATAGAAATATGCTGCATACATTTATCAATGCATTATTTCTGATAGAGCTTACGTGAAAATTTGATGGATAATGTGTTATAAAATCATGAAAAATCGATCTTAGAAGCTTTCGGATAGAGGAAAAAGTTCTCTTTCGATCACAGAAATGGCTGAAGTAGTTAACATCCTTGCATTCAAAGTTACCAATAACCAGCGATAGCTGTTTGGACTAATCCTTGACTGCAGTTAAGATGAGAGCTAGATATTCTTAACATGTCATCAAGCGATACACTTACAGTGAGCAATATTGTGTATCTCTGATAGTAATGGAGGGGTGTTGGGATTAAAAGAATGGTGGAATTGGCTCCATAGGCTGAATGGCCTCCTCTTGCCTGTTTTATTCTGTTTCTATCTATATCTTAATTTTAAATTCATAAGCAAAGCTGACATTTTGTGAGTTTTAAGTTCTTTATTGTAATATACTATGGAGAGCTGGGCCCTGTAGGATCACAAGGGAAAGAAAGACGTTTTCCAATTGTGTTAAAGTCCACAGGATACGCCCCCTCTCCCACTGCTCATCCATTCGTAAATGCATATCTGTAATCTTCACTCCAAGAGGTCAGTATTGTGTTAGATGCGCAGGATAAAAATGAGAGCTCAGTGCCACGGGTGCACTCTTCTAAAGATGAGATAAGATTGCAGTGTCAAGATAATGCCAAGCATCCATGTCAGCTTGCACTGACGTTCAAACAAGTCTTTACAAAGCTATAATTATCGGTTACAAAGTGGAAATTCTTCTCTTTTCCGGCAATGAGTCACACACAATAAAGCAGGGCTTTTGTTGAACTGCTCTTGGCTGGATTTAAAAATGCATTGGAAAAAGACCTGACACGTCACATTCACAGTTGCTAAGTTCAATGCCATGATAAAGTGTCAGATGTATAAATACTCTACATATACTGAATTTCCTATGCAGATATTGTAAACCAATGACAGCAAATATGACTGAATAAAACTGATATGTCAGTAACTGGTAGAATTGCAGAAGTGATTTTTGCATTACTTGAATTGTGTTTTTATTTTGATGCATAAACCTCAAAGGAATAAATAAACCCAGACGTTGGAAGATTTAGGATGCACTCAAGAATTCAGATACAATTTATGATAATTACTTTGATCCGTTCAGTCTGTCTTTAAAAACGAAAATAAAATTGACATTAGAATATTCTGAATATAATCAAAAGTACTGAGTTGCAAAGTCAATTACAAAACTCTAGTAGTTTAACTTTGAGAAAAAAAATTTTTGAGTCTCAAAGTGAGATTGGGAAGTCTTAACATAGTTCCTCATGAGTGCAAATCCACTACTCAAAACAGGTCCTAATTAAATAATTGTGAAATTTCACTTAGGGTGACTTGAAGGGATGACTGTTGTGGAAATTTGAAATGTCACGTTGGTTACCAAATAAAATCTTTTGAGATAAGGATAGAGATCCTGTTGCTGTGGTGAAATTTACCTGGTATCGTAGCCATGCTGTAACTGAACTCAGAGTAATTTACAGATACTAGACACAGAACGTTCCATTTCCCATGTATGAAGACAGGATCCCCTCCCCCCAATGTAATACAGTCATAGAAATTTAGCACAGAAGAAGGCCATTTGGACAATTGTGTCTGAGCTGGCTCTTTGAAAGAGCAATCCATTCAGTCACATTTACCTGCTTTGTCCCCATACACTGCAAATCATTCCATTCTATGTATCTGTCTTATTCTCTCTTGAAAGCTAACATGGATTCTGCCTTGATCACTGTTCCAGGCAGGGCATTGCACGTCCCAACAACTTTCTGTGTAAAAGTATTCCTCCTAATCCCATTTGCAAATTATCTGAAATTGATAACCTCTAAGTCACTGACCAGTGGAAATAATTTCTCTCTATTTACTCGATCAAAACCCCACATAATTTTAAGGACCTCTATCAGGTCAATTTCAAGACAAAAAAACAGGATGTTTTTCTTTATGCAGAGGGTAATTAACAACTGGAACAGGTTACTAAGAAGATTGGTTGAGGACAGGGTACTGGACTCTTTTTAAAAAAAACAGCTGGTTGCTGTGATAATAATAATGCATTTGATATAGCACCTAATCAAGTCTTCGAAACGTCTCTAAGTGCTTCACAGAATATACTGTAAAGTGAATTGACTGTATATTTTGTGGGTAAAACTTGGGCAGCCAATTGCGCACAGCAGTGTCCCACAAACGGTCATTGATCTTGTCAGGGTTCCCCTCAACCTTTTCTGTTAATGTTAAGATAATGGGAATGGGAGGGACTCAGTTGCAGGGTGAGGGTTAGCTGTAAATCAATATTATTTAATTTAATATATCTGACAGTAATAATGCTTGATGGGGATGCAATAGTTTGGCAGGGAGTACTCTTTCCAGCTCTGCAGTTTGGATTGCAGCCTAATGAGCTTAATAACGGTGGACACAATGGTTCACCTTTTTCCTTAGTACACAATCGCATTTATCATATTCATTTCAGAACAAAATTAGGAAGCGTGAATACATTCGTGAGTGAGTGTAACTGATGAGTGCTTAGGTACAGGGTATAATTTCCTTCCAGTATGTTGGGGTTCAAACAAAGGACTTCTCTTTTTGCATTTGAAAGAAGTTAAGGAAGCCGTGCTCCTGCTGAAAATTACTCACTGGGTCTACTTTCAAAGCCATTTTGATCTATCATCCTGATTGATCACAGTGTAATTGGCTCTTATTGAACCTAATTTAACCCTATAAGCTCATACATCTAGACTGTCCATTCCAACTGACACAATACAAATTACTTACAAATGCACATGTTGACCCACGGCAGTTTTGGCAGTAATCATGTTTAATTATACAAATAGTTTGTGATAAATCTGATTACAGAATGGTGCATTTGTTTAGTCGTTCCTTGATGAAGCTTAAATTTGATTTTCTCGTACTTTGTCTCCGAAGCATCGTGTGAAAAATAAACGCTGACTTTTTGGGGGGATTGCACACACAATCTGCTTCTACTCGTCACTCACCTTCAAAATTTTGTACAAGGTTATAAATTACTATTGTATCAGGGGGAAGGTGCATCTGTACCTTTCTGTTGTTTTTAACAACCTAATGCACGATGAAAAGCAGTCGTTCATTAACCACAGGCCAAGTGACCGCATTTCCTCTCTTGCATTTCCATTTATTAAAGAGAATCAGTCAAAGTTAATTGATGGGCCATGAAGGAAAACTTAGAATAATTGATTATTCTAAACCATTTTTTTTAAATGGGAGAATGATTCAGGATGGAGGACAAAGGCTAAACTTCTTTGGCTGTCAGAGCCCTGAATTTATATTGAACAAGATGTATCCTGCAACGTTTGACATTAAGCTTTTCACTCAAATGAGCAGTAAACTACTCTTCAATAGAACAGTATCAATGGGTATGTAGGTTAACAAAGTACATACAAAGCATAAATCCCTAAATATAATCAACCATATTGCCTTCTCACAATACTGCAATATAATATTTTGTATAACTCTCCATGAAGTACATGTGCAGTAAAAGTTTTGTGTTTTATGTACATATATATTTGTCCGCATTTTCTTAGATTCCCTTGAACAATTAGGCTTCCCAAGCCTATAAGGTGAAAAGAGATGGTCTCCCACATACTTTTGCTAATGCTTCTGTGTTTATGCTGCGATTTTTGTGGTAGAAGTGTAGTGCAAATAGGAGTTAAGCCATGCAGTCAAAAGTAAACTGTGTTGGAGATTGCTTTGAGAAGATGACTTCAGCGGCACATCAAGTTGCGATGATTGTAGTAATATGTAAGTTGTAGTACTGTACAGAACTGTGGGTGCAAATCGATTTAAACACCACTCCGAAATAACATGAAAAAGAAACTTAATGCACAATTTTAGAACTCCGCGTACAGCTCTTTTCTCTGCCGGGTTTTGCATTATTGTAATGAAAATATTTAATACCTCGATATGTTAATGGTAAAACTTATTTCTCATTACCATCTTTTCATTTAAAAAACATACGATTGCTTTTATAGAGCAAGGAAATGCAATATGCTGAATACGTATTTGGTGCCCTACACATATGTTCTGTTTGAAAATGACTTATTTTTTAAAAAACATTTAAAAAAAACAAAAAACAATTTTTAAAATTCTTAAAATTCTGAAAGACTTTATGAGGTAACTAATGAAAGATTATTTCCAATGGTTGGTGAATCTGCTAAATGAGGCATAACCAAGATCTTGTCTGCTTGTCCAGGTGGATGTTAAAGATTCCATGGCACTCTTTGAAAAGATAAAGGAGTTTCTTCCCTCTTCCAAATTCTGGGCAACAATCCACCAAATAAAATTGGTCATTCGCTCCATGACTGGTTGTGGGATGTTGCTGTGCACAAATTGACTGCCTGGTTCATCACAAAATATACAGTTGCACCACCTTACAGTACTTTCTGTGAAGCTCTTTAAGACATCTTAGCAACATGATAGGGTGCCATAGGATTATTATTATTATAATAACCTAAAGACTATTAATAGAATTCTAGAAGGGGAGCTTATAATTTGTTTCCGAAATAAAGAGGAAGTGGAATATCTTACCACAAGTAGCCACTGAATTCCAAAGCACGCGTGTCATTTAAAAGGGAATTTAAAGAATTTAAAGAATTTAAAAACATTTAAAGAATCGTGGATGTAAAAAGATATGAGGGAGAGTGCAGATTGAAGCTTTAACTTCTCCTCCATTGCACTGACACGATGGGCTCCTTTAATTATATTTCTACAAGGTGCCAGTGAGATAAACGTAAAACAGCTAATGAAAGATAGTAGACAGTGGGAACTAAAAAGGCATGATTTCTAACAAGAATCCTTAATAAGGAACTTCAAGTTGTAAACGGAGACACCTACTGGTAACCAAAGGTAGGATACGCAGTTGTGGCAACTCCAGCCAACATCAATGTATTAATTCACTTGAATTTTGACAATTAACTCTGTTGTGTTTCAATAGAATATTGAAATATTTCAGTTTGAGTCGATGTTGTTTTCTCATTCATCATTTAACTCTGCATTTTGAAAAGATGGAACAAATGCTGACAATTGCCTGTCTTTAACAACCTTTGCTTAAAGCCCTGATGCAGTGCCTTTTAAAAATCAAATTGGTAGATGAATAGAGGCTGTGGGGGGTTATCAAATGCCTATCACTGGAAACAGAATTGTTATTAGTCTATGATGAAAAGTCCCATTTTAATGATAATGATCATCCTTGCATTTGATATAGTGTGTTTCACATTGGGAGGACATTTCAAGCATTCCATGGGAATTTGCTGCACACTGTTGTGATTGTGTATTTTGTAGGCAAAGACAGCAGCCAATTTGCACGCAACAATGTCCCACAAGCAGCCACAACGTGAATGACCAATTTTATCTTGGGATACTGGAAGAAACTCTATTCTCTTTTCAGATAGCGTCATTGGATTTTTAACATCCACTGGACAGGCAGACAAGCCCTCTGTTTAACATTTCAGCTGAAAGAAGGTACCTCTAAAACTGCAGTGCTCCCCCTTCCTAGACTGTGGGCTCAAAGTCCCGACTTAGGGCTTGAATTCACAACCTCCTGACTCAGAGAGAGAGTTCTACCACTGATCGGCCATTGCCAACATTGACCTGTGAGAAATATCTGTACAAAGGTGTTATAATCAACCTCATGAGTTGGGATAGTTAATGTATCTCACTGCTGACTGCAGCTTTTTCTTATAACACCCGCAATATGTTTTCAATTGAATGAGATAAAGAAACACATTTTAATGAGCATTTTAATGATATTTTTGTAAATCCAAGGAACTAAGAGGAAGTAGCCTGGTGATGTCTAGACTTTGTTGTGATAAAGTCATACCAGTAGAAGCAGAATTTTTATCTATAATGTGTTTCTCTGCACAGAAGTGTAATAAAGCAGAAAACTTGTTCATAACAGAAACAGGTCATTTATTGCAGGTTTTGCTGGGTGACAGTGATTGAAATCTTGCACTGTTTTAACTTGTGATTCTTTCCTGCAGGTATGGTCGGTGAATTCTGCAGGAAGAACATTTAGTGCCTGGAGTCGTGCGAGAACAGGGCAGGCCCCTCCTGAAGGCCTGTATGCACCCACCTTCCTCACAGTTTTTTCAACCTCTGCAGTGGTGAACATCAGTCCACCAAACAAACCTAATGGAGTAGTCACGTTATACAGAGTGTTTGCCAGGAGCAGGAGCAGAGGAACTGACATGTTGGTGAGCACCCTGGCTGACTTTTTCACACCAGCAATAGCAGACAGATTGTAACTATACATTTTTATACGTACATTTTTATTTTAGCCGTATCCTGTATGAGCAACGAATTCCAACCTAAGCAGTCTGTCATTATGAGTTTGATCAACCATTTGGATTTCCCCTTAGTGCTGTGCTCTGTGGAGCTGTCAGATATAATGGAACCTGACAATAAGCTAAAGAGTTTTCTTGAAAAGCTAGGTAGAGAACATGTTTTAGTTTGTTTGCTAAATCAAATCAAATATCTAAATCTTGCATGGCATTGCATAAAACACCATCAGGACAGAATAATGCACCAATATTTCGAGCCTTTCTCGCTCCACAGGTTTACTGTTCACAATGAAGACAATGCTTCCTTTTCAAGTGAATTTTGTTACATTGCTGTCACAGTTTCTGTTCCTACAAGTCTCTGACAATCCCAAGCCATCAATGCTGGGCAGCAGGTTCACTCCAAAGGAAATGCTTCACTTACATCCAACCTGATCCATTCCCTTGAGTATCTGGCAGATTAAATAGGGATATGACATTTTACTGTAACCGTCAGGATATCAGGTAGTGAAGTATTGTTTTATCAGCACAACTCGTTACTAGGATTCTATTATTATGACAGAGAAGATGGATTGAAAGGGCAAGCTTGCTCCTTAGGAAGAGTTGCTGAATTTACTGCATATAACATTCGTGCTTTTTTCTCCCCTACTCTGTTATTCCTTAGGGAAAGTATTGAAAGTTATTGGATTCTCACTCTCTTGTGACTTTGTATGTACAGAGACAGGACTTTTAATGGTGTTCTTTTGGTGTTTCAGAGGAGCTGAAATCTGATTTGAAAACTACAAAGTGTTGAAAACTACAAAGGTAGAAGAGTAACATGCCTCTTATCTGAATTAAAAAGAGGATTTGAAGGGGAGAGAAAACATGACTGTAGGCACAGTATAACCCCAAAGTATTAGTGAACTTCAGCCCATGATGGAAATCACACGGAATTGTCTGTGCCCATTCAGACTGCACTGATCAGTGCTGTTAAAGCCTACTTCTCTTCAGTATAACTACAACTTGTTTTGGAGTGGTACAGATCTTGAAGTTCTTAAAAGCAGTTTAATCTTTAAGACTGAGCAGCACTGTGGAAAATTCTTAAATTTAGTCCATGTTTGGAAGTCGTGTTTTGCAGATACAAAACTTGAAAAGACCTGACTTCCAAATCAAGATTGTAATTAAGAATCTTCCACAATTCTACATGAATTGTGAAATTCATGAATGGTGAAATGGTGAAATTCTACATGAATCAAAATTCCACCAAAGCCTAGGTGGAACTTCAGTTCTCAGATGAGACCTAATGAATGCAGCACCTAGATTCTGCTCCTGAATCTCAATCCCTTTCTGCCGACAAATTCTATGGACATTTATGCGCAAAACAACAACACAAGCCTATCACACTTCTTTTATACAACTCTGTATCATACCTGATGGAGCAAATAAAATCATCGCACTGCAATCATTTTCATATTATCATTGCTTCAAATGCATCCCATTAAATTACTCTGAAAAAAATCAAATGTGATCAAACATGTCCTTTATTCTCATTCATAGCTCTCTGAAGGAACCTCAACACAGCAAACTATCCATGAGCTGCAGCCCTTTACTACCTACTCTGTTGGTGTAGAGGCATGTACGTGCTTTCGGTGCTGTAGCAAAGGACCAATAGCAAATTTTGTTACTCGCCCGTCAGCTCCTTTCAACCAGCCTTCTCCACAACCCAAGAGTGTTAAGTCAAGGAATGCCATCTTACAGTGGAACACTCCACTGTCTCCTAATGGTGTTATTCAGAGGTAAGAGTTTGTCTAAAGACTGTTAAGGTATATGGAAGCAACTGTAAAACCACATCAGATATTGTAATCTGAATATTACCATTGTATGACCTTACTTGATCATATTGGATTTTTTAAATTCAGTAAAAAGCTTTGGGTTCATTATTTGTTAAACAGGCTGAAGAGTAGTAAAAAGAGGATGAATTACATTTTAAGAAAACAAGAAGATCATCTACAATATACATTTTGAAAAATACTTCTGACATGAAAAGTGCTACATCAAATATAAGGAATTGATTTACTTTATCTGGACCAGTTAAGTTGACGGAGCAAGGAGTGATAAATGGATTGTATTGTAGATAACTATATGTATTCATACATATTTGGAAGAACATATATGCATGGAAGTGCATGTATACAGAATGAAGGAGGTGGAGAAGAAATTATTTGGGTGTGATGTATTTCCTGAAGTTTTTAAGGCAATGCACATCCAGTGTTCACTAAGTTAACCAAATGTTATGTTGTATCTCAAGCACATTTGACTATAAATTGAAAAACAACAACAAAATTTATAGAGCGCCTTTCATGTTCGGAAAGACGTCCCAAAGCGCTGAACAGTCAGGTGTCGGGGTCCGAGCATGGGGGGAGGGGTGGTTTAGGGGTGAGGGAAGGCAGAGAGGTGGGAGGGCGACTAAAAGCACGATCGAAGAGAAGGGTCTTGAGACCAGCCTTGAGGGAGACAACAACAACAACAGGATTTCATTTATAGAGCGCCTTTCATGTCGGGAGGACGTCCCAAGGCGCTGGACAGTTGGGTCGGGACCCAAGCAGCGGGGAAATGGTCAGGGTGAGGGGAGGGAAGGGAGGGAGCAAGGAGGGGGTAGAGACTCGAGAGGGGAGCTGAAGGCACGGTTGAAGAGAAAGGCCTTAAGACTGGCCTTGAAGGAGGAAAGGGAGGAAGTGAGGTGAAGGGACTGTGGGATGGAGTTCCAGAGTGTGGAGGCATAGAGGCTGAAAGCCCGGCCACCAATCATAGGGTGGGTCGAGCGGGAGTCATGGAGCAGGCCGGAGCCTGCTGAACGGAGGGAGTGGGCAGGTTGGTAGGGCGTCAGCAGGTCAGAGAGGTTGGAGGGGCAAGGCCATGGATGGCCTTAAAAGTGAGGACAAGGATCTTGAATTCGATCCTCTGGGGGATGGGGAGCCAATGGCGAGGCGAGGGTGGGAGTGATGGGGTCGCAGAGCCTGGTGTGCAAAAGTACACAAGCTACAGAGTTTTGGATGATCTGCAGCTTGTGAAGGGAAGAGTTGGGAAGGCCGATGAGGAGGGAGTTCCCGTAATCGAGCCTTGATGTGATGAATAAGGGTTTCGGCAGCCTGAGGGGTGAGGCAATTGCGGAGTCTGGCAATGTTGTGGAGGTGGTGGCAGGCAGTGCTGGTCATGTTGCGGATGTGGTGGAGAAAGAACAGTTCAGGGTCAAACAAGATACCCAGGTTGCTGACTGGCTTAGTGAGGTTGAGTGTGCAGCCGTGGAGGCTGATGCTGCGCCCGAGGTGTGAAGGCGCTGGCGCGAGCCAATCAGGAGGGCCTCGATCTTGCTGACGTTGAGTTGGAGAAAGTTGGCCCTAGTCCAGGACTTGATGTTGGACAGGCAGTCAGTCGGTCAGGACGCCAGTAGTCCTGGAGTTCAGGGTGGAGGCAGAGAGATAGAGTTGGGTGTCATCCGCATACATGTGGAAATTTACCCCATGTCTGTGGATGATGTCACCAAGGGGAAGCATGTAGAGGATGAAGAGGAGGGGACCGAGGACAGAACCCTGAGGAATACCGCAAGAGATGGTGCGGGGGCTGGAGGAGAAGCCGTTTGCTGCGACAAAGTGGAGCCAGTGTGAAAGGTAGGACCTGAACCAGTCAAGGACAGAACCTTGAAGTTTGAGGTGGGAGGAGAGGTGGTGGAGGAGGATTGAGTGGAGGAAAAAAGATGTTCTTCCAACCTTGTTTTGTCTGCCTGTTCCAGTAGAAGTTAAAGATTCCATAGCACTAATTGATAAAATAGAAATGAATTTCTCCTGATACCCTGGCCAACAATCACTGTGTGCAGTTTTGGTCTCCTTATTTAAGGAAGGACATACTTGCCTTGGAAGGGGTGCAGCGTAGATTTACTAGGTTAGTACCAGGGATGAAGGGGATGAGTTACGAGGATAGGTTGACCAATTTGGGCCTATATTCTCTAGAATATAGAAGAATTAGAGGGGATCTCATAGAAACCTATAAGATCATCAAAGGGCATGATAGAATGGATAGTGGGAGATTGTTTCCCCTGGTTGGAGAAACTAAAACCAGGGGTCACAACTTTAAAATCAGAGGCCAGCCCTTTCGGATTGAGTTGAGGAAGAACTTCTTCACTCAAAGGGCGGTGAATGTATGGAACTCACTACCCCAAAGGGCTGTTGACGCTCAGTCCTTGAACATATTCAAGACTGAGATAGATATATTTATTATTGCAAAAGGGATTAAGGGATATGGGGATAAGGCAGGGTTAGGTTATTAGCTGGAATTAGATTAGAACATCAGCCATGATTGAATGGCGGGGCAGGCTCGAAGGGCCGAATGTCCTATTCCTGCCCCTACATGTTATGTTGTGTTAACAATCCTCCAGATTCATTCATTCACCAAGTCATATTCAATTGTATCTTTTTTATATTTATATTTGAATTTATATTTAATCATCTTTGGGTTCAAGCAATGCCTATGTAGCAATTAGATAAATGGGTGAAGCCCATGGAGGAGTATGTTTTCTGTTGTCCGTGGAAGGAGAGGTTTGGAGGGCTGAATTACCTTTTCTAACTCTGTGCTTCCTTACACTCCTAACACAAACTGTTAAGAACTTTACCTTCATACAGCTTTAAGCAACAACAACAAAGACAAATTACATTTGTAAAGCACCTTTTATGTCGGGAGGACATCCCAAGGGGCTGGACAGAGAGAGTTACGGACCCAACCTGGGGGTCAGGGAGGGTGGAGGGCAGGGGGGAAGCAGGGAGATCGAAAGCATGGTTGAAAAGGAGGGTCTTGAGATGGGTCTTGAAAGTGGCAATGGAGTGACTGCGGGATAGAGTTCTAGAGGGTGGGGCAGTGTGGGGGAAGGCCCGCTCGCCAATAGTGGGGCGAGCGAGGCATGGGACATGAAGCAGACCGGAGCCCACTGAACGGAGGGAGCAAGCAGGATGGTAGGGGATTAGGAAGTTACAGAGGTAGGAGGGAGCAAGACTGGAGGGATTTGAAGGTGAGGACCAGGATCTTGAAGTGGAGTTGGGCAAGGATGGGGGTGATAGAGTCACGGAGCCTGGTGCGGGAGAGGACACGGGCTGCAGAGTTCTGGATGATCTGCAGCCTATGGATGGAGGAGTTGAGGAGGCCAACAAGCAGTGAGTTTTCATAGTCGAGCCTCGATGTAATGAAAGCATGTATGAGAGTTTCGGCGGCCTACGGTGTGAGACAGTGGTGGAGCCGGGTGACATTGCTGAGGTGGGGGAAGGCAGAGCGGGTCGTGGCGCAGATGTGGGGTACAAAGGATAATTGAGGGTCAAACAAGACCCCAAGGTTCCGGACTGGCTTAGCAAAGTGGAGTGTGCAACCATGGATGGTGATGCTGTCAGCGCCTGAGGTGAGGAGGCACTGACGGGAGCCAATCAGGAGAGCCTCGGTCTTGTTGACATTCAACTGAAGAAAGTTAGTTCTCATCCAGGACTTGATGTCTACAGACATTCTGTCAGGACAGCAGTGGTCCTGGAGTCAAGGATGGAAGCAGAGAGGCAGAGTTCCACATCCGCATACATGTGGAAGTTGACCCCATGTCTGCTGATGATGTCACCAACAGGGAGTGCATAGATATTGAAGAGGAGGCGACCAAGGACAGAGCCCTGAGGAACGCCGCACGAGACGGTGTGGGGACTGGAGGAGAAGCAACCACTACGTTATATCCCTAGTTGAAAATAACTAGGATCCTTATTACATTTGCAGATGCAGTGTCTGACTTTGTTGTCTGTTTTAGTTACTGTACCTTTATGTGTTTCTAGCTACAAACTCCAGATGCGCATCACCTGCCCCCAGCCTGTGCAGCCAACAGCACAGCACTGTGCTGCCGGATCTGTTAAAGCTGTATACAGTGGCATAGGCCAGAGTTTCAACTTGACCAATTTGCTGCCCTATACAAGTTATAGCTTTCAAGTAATAAGCTATAACTCAGTGGGCAGTACAGTGTCGGATTGGTCTACCATCACTACACAGAAAGAGAGTGAGTACAACAACAACAACAACAACAAATTACATTTGTATAGTGCCTTTCATGTCAGGAGGACGTCCCAAGACGCTGGACAGTCAGGGATCCGCACCCGAGCTGGTGGTTGGGATCAGGAGGGGTGAAGGGTGGGGAGGGTAAGTGTAAGATGATGAACAAAGGCACAGTTGAGACTGGTCTTGAAGGAAGCAAGGGAGTGGGCGAGGCAGAGGGACTGTGGGATGGAGTTTCAGAGGGTGGGGGTCTGCAGTCCAACTGTTCAGGTGAAAAATACTTGACTGTTGATTTTTTCTCGGTGTGACACCTACACTAACAGACTGCTTCCAGGGAGCAGTCAGTACCTTCCCTGAAAATGAGCTGCCTTATCTCGTGAATGGGTTCTTTGCCCAACCGAAACCTATGTTCTACACCTGAACCATATGCATAACGTTCAGTCACAAGATAAGGTTTAAGGCAATGGTAGAAATAAGAAAGCCGAATCAGACAAGAAATAAAGGAAGGGAAAGATAAGGTGTAGAAAATGGGAAATCACAAACTAAACATTTCAAAACAGAGGCAAAAAGAAGCTTAATTAAGATTAAATTGAGAAATTGCCAAAGAGAAATGAGAAATCATATGAAGTGAGAATCGGGAAGGGTTGGGGCGGAATTAACTGGAAGATGGATGCTACAAAGTGAAAGGAAAGGTGTACTGGAGTTCTGGAAAGGAAAAAGAAAGCAAATGTTTAAGATAGGGCAGAAGATAAGTCCAGCAGAAGACACAATTTCACAGGATTTTGTTTTCAGATATTCAAAATTTGCAATTACAATTCAACGGTGTTGAACCAACTTTTGTTATAAACTATTTTAAACCAGAAATTGTGCTTCTGTATCCATGATGGATGAGTCAATTGTTTTAGGTTTTAGTGAATCGGTTCAGTTTTATCCCAGTAGACCCAAACCTATCAAATCCAATGCAAAGCCAGTTTTTAAAAGACATTCCCTCTACAAAGACCATCTTTAGCTTGTTAGACTCCCCGAGACCTGTCCACACGAGTGACTGGTAAATCTCACAAAAGGAAGCTGATGTCACATTAGATTTGCTTCTTTGGAAATGATTAGGAATGTACTTAGTAAGTCGCTTAAAGGCCCAGATCCACATTTTTTAAATAAAATAACAATACATGTTGATAAAATAACAAATTCATATTGTGTTTTATGAGTTGCCTGTTTTGGGACAATCCAGCAAATCAGCAATATTCAATAACTTTTTCAATGTATTTCACTCCCCAGTGCCTCAGTACAGAGCGCCATTCAAAGTAACCAGCAACTTGACAGCAATCTACCTGGACTGGCGTCAAACATTCCAGTTGAATGGACGGCTCAGAGAGTACGTACTGACTGAGAACAACGTCAGAGTTTACAGTGGCTTTGACAGCATATTACGACTTCCAAGAACTTCAGACAAAAGTTAGTTGTTTTGTATTTTTCATGGTGTTGCTCTTCAGATTTCATTTATTTTATGCCTCTTTTTGTACAAAAAAAATCTCTTTTGCTTAGCTATCTTTTGAGTCTATGGGGCAATAGTTCCATCGGTTCCAGGAGCCCTTCAGTGCTTCAGACAATTTACATAATTCATGTGCCAGTCTTGCCTGTAAGTGTTGACTGGCTCTCTGACCACAGGGAGCATCTCAGCCAAGCCAGATCCTGTCTTCACTTGGTGTTCAGTGTAATGTATTGTGGGTGGCAAGGCAAAGTGTTCCTGACCTTGGTTCCCCAAACAAGTAATCTCAATAGTAGTCTCATCCTTGACTGCTCTTAATAACTTGGTGACCAATTTATTTGACCGCACTTTCGGTTATCTTTCACTTCCTCACACCCTTGCCACCCACCACCAGCTCATGTGCCAAGCCATTATTGTTAAGCACTTTGGGATGTCCTCCTGATGCTATATATAAATGTAAACTTGTATGATATTGCAATTACACAGTGGCATTAGCAGAAGTGTGGTGTCAGGTTTCCAGACCACCTTCTCACTTAAAATTTGGTCCATGGCATAACAGGTCATCGAATATTTATAATATTCTGTGGCAGTATTGTATTCATGGATTAATTGTTCTTCATCCAAATTGAATACAAATAATAATAATAAACCTTGTATTTGATATAGTGCCTTATCAAGTCTTCAAGATATCTCAAAGCACTTCACAGAATATACTGTAGGTAAATTGTGGGCCAAAACATAGCAGCCAATTGGCCACAGGAGTGTCTCACAAACAGTCTCACAAACAAGAGTGTGTCATTTGACTTTAGTTATAAACTGAGATGTCATGGAGAAGATAATTATTATTATTGAAGAATAGCCCTTCATCTCTTCATTCAGCTCCAAATCCCATTGTAAGTTGCCAAACTGTGAGAAAGTACTGAAGAGCAAGGTTTGTTCACTGGCTTCTTTCCTTGCACTCAGTGACAACTTTCGTATTGAAAGATTTTTTATAATCTTTTAAATTAGACAGCAAACTTAAATCAGAATTAGTGCTTCCCATCCTATTTACATCACAGCAAATTACTCCACAGTATGCCTTTGCCCAACTGCTATGCATTTTACTTCATAAGTTTTCTATCTGTCATTCAGTGTATCAGTGAGCCACATTTGTAAGGTTTCAATTTAATTTTTTAAAGTTAAAAATAAGATCAGTTGGTAGCTGTACTTTGATGATGGGCCATATGGAGCAGGAAGGGTCACTATGGCATGTTCTGAGTTAGACAACCTCAGCTGTGAGACTGGAAAGAACCCTAGTTTACTCGCTGTATTCAATGCACTTTCACGTTTGACTTGAATATTCATAATAAATGTTCCAACCAGTGCTGATGCACTAAGTGTAATTACACATTTGAAGTTAATTTAAAGCTTGATGTTAAATTTAAATATTGTGATTTGTTAATGGTTGTGGTGCTAATTAACATATGCATTGAATTTAGAGACCTTATGATAATTAACACAACTGGTTCCTGAATGCGTTTGATGCAAAATCCACAACACCATCAGTTTGTTGTGTCTGGGAAGCCCGTGTCCATTGAATTCGGCTTTCAGACTGCAGCATCAGGAATAGATTTACGGAAGTCCAGCTTTACTTGTAAAGTTTTGCTGTTATCTACGAACCAATGTGATCCATGAACTGGAGGTCCACTACACAGTACAGCCGGCTTCTCAGAGCAGCCATTGGAGGGTGTGTGCTCCAGCACCCTGGGATAGCCAGTCAATGCGTTAATTATCATTGGGTCACAAAATTCAATGCATGTGTTAATTAGCACCATAGGTATTAATTAACACATCAAAACATTGCAAATTTTCATCCTGGAGTGTGGAATTTAATGGCAATATTGAACAAGAAGCCCTCTGTGTATCATGGGATTTGTTTTAAAAAGCATGTTGATAAATACTCTGCTTTATCTCATCCAAAAATAACACTGCAGTAACTCCCCCATCCCGAGTATATCCGCATGTTCTCATTTGTCAATGCCAACTTCTACAGTGTAAAGAGAAAATTTTATTTATTTAGGCTGAATCTCCAGTGCTGGGGGTGTGCTGCAATGTTTAAGGCACTGTCCTTCAGATGATATGTTAAACTGAGGTCCCGTCTGTCTGTTCAGATAATAATAATAATAATAATAATAATAATAATAATAATCCTTGCATTCGATATAGCGCTTTTCTCGTCAGGAGGATAATAATAATAATAATCCTTGCATTTGATATAGCGCTTTTCACGTCGGGAGGACGTCCCAAAGCGTAAAGTGAATTGACTGTATATTTGTGGGCGAATGCGGCAGCCAATTGCGCACAGTCGTAGATTAAAAATGACCAATTTAATTATTGTTTTTGTTTTTTGGAGGGATTATTATTAGGCGTGTGGAGTAAGGAAACTTGCCCAAGGTTTCGCCCTGCCTGGAATTGAACTCAGGTCTCTCACTTGCAAAGCGAGTGCTCTAACCACTGAGCTACAGGACTCCACAAATAGATGTTAAAGATCCCACGGCACTATTTGAAAGTGAGGAGGAGGTTTCCAAATCACTGTCCTTGCAAATCAGTCCCCCAAATAAAATCAGTCATTCACTTTGGGCTATTTGTGTGACAGTGCTGTGTACAATTTGTCTGTGAAATTTGTGGATGCATCAATGATGTGATAAGACATCAAATGCAAGGCTTATTAGATATTTTGGTGCTGGGCCAAAATTATATTGTATGTAAAAATCTGAGTGTCAGATCAGTAATTATCATCTCCTTGTATTGTAGCTTTTCTGTTCCGGGTTGTTTGCACAACAGATATGGGAAGTACCAGCACCTCCATTACTTCATACAACACAACCACAGGTGTTGGTGAGTATATTCTACATTGCCATTGCCTTTATTTTTGAATAGCCCAGAAATTAGTGATACTTTTATGTGTATCAGTGGATGTGCAGATTAAGAAAAGAGTTGATTCCAGTCATTTGAAGACACGTAAATCAATTCAGGAAAACTGAATAAGATTACAAGAAAAAGGACCTAATCCATACACTGCAACTTCTTGAGTATAAGCCTCACTTGTGTATTTTACTCTTATCCCTCACTAAATTCTTTCTTTACAACCTACATCCCCTGATTTTAGAGCATTTAAAACAATAGTAAATACCGTGGCCCCTTTACTCCTAACCTGTGACCCTTGAGAGACTTATGGTTTTACATAGAATTACATTACATAGAATACATAGAATATGCAGCACAGAAACAGACCATTTGGACCAACTGGTCTTTGCCAACATTTATGCTCCACATAAGCCTCCTCCTGCCCTTCCTCAAGTAAGCCTATCAGCATAATATTCTATTCCTTTCTCCCTCATATACTTATCTAGCTTCCCCTTAAATGCACCTATGCTATTCGCCTCAACTACTCCTTGTGGTAGCAAGTCACTAAAGTTTGTGTGACTCTGGACATCCTTTCATAGGTTTATTGAATGTGAACTCCTTTTCTATGTTTTGCATAGAAGCCAAGGGAATGTTAACAGGAAACAGAGCTATCAGAGCGTTGAGCAAGTTCTATTAAAATAGTCTTGGGGGGCGCAGAAATCCAGGGAAGGATGCGTCTTTGCAATATCCCACAAATGGCACGCCTGAAATAAAAAGCTTGCTGCGTGAGGAATGACATTGCAGATGAGTGTCCATCAGATGAGTGTCCATTGTGGAGTCTTGTAGCTCAGTGGTTAGAGCACTCGCTTTGCAAGCGAGAGACCTGAGTTCAATTCCAGGCAGGGCGAAACCTTCGGCAAGTTTCCTTACTTCACACGTCTAATAATAATCCCTCCAACACCAAAAACAATAATAAATTGGTCATTTTCAATCTACAACTCTTTGTGGGACATTGCTGTGTGCAATTGGCTGCCGCGTTCGCCCACAAATATACAGTCAATTCACTTTACAGTGTGTTCTGTGAAGCGCTTTGGGATGTCCTCCCGACGTGAAAAGTGCTATATCAAATGCAAGGATTATTTATTATCACTCGGTTTGTTACAGTTTTCCTAGGAGCAGCCCTCGAGCAAGGATTCTGGTTACACTGACCTCTAGCATGCATGAAGGTGTGACTTATGCACTAGAGTTTACAATATATGTCATCTCTAATCACTAAAGTTTCACGTGTCTCTGATCTCACTTAGCCAGTCCATGTAGCAAGCTGAAGGAGGATTCGGACCTCCATTTCCTTATAACGGATTGTTTGGCCACAAGAGGTAAGATCAAACAACACCCACTGTGAGATCTACAAAAAATAAGATATTGAGGCAGGTCTCAACATTAAGAACAAATGGGCTGAACATGCCACTTTCAATGATTACTTGTGATAATTATCATCTAAGGAATATTTTACTGATGCCAACGTCCCAGGCAATTACACAGAATTACATAGACTCCACAGCACCAACTAGTCTGTGTTGGTGTTTATACTGCACATGAGCCTTCCCCCATTCTAACCCCCCACCTCCCTAGCCTTCTTCCCCAATTCCCCTCTTTCCTTTCTCCCACATGAATGCACCGAGTTTCAATAGCTGATGAAAAGCAATTTCCCACAGACTTTGTGCAAGTAGTGGAGCCTCAAAGTGCCAGCAGCAGGCATGTAGGCAGCCTTCAGCAGCTTTCAGCCAGTTTGTGGAATACTGACTAGTTTCAGTGAATGTCATGCTTTTTACCAAGTATTGTCATGAAAGAGAAACAGCATAAATGCCTTCCATAAACGAGCAACCATAATAGGATGGGATAGCTCCACATGTCATAGAGGAACCCCATTCTGCATGACATCTGCAACCACACAGCCTTTTACAGTGGAACCACTTTGGTGTGAAAGAAACTTTGTGAATAATTCTGAACATAGTAAGGCACGCTAAGTACACACAGACTGCCTGGTGCAAATTCCCAATCAATGCAATAGACATCTCAAATGTCATCTCAACTATTTCAATAAAAGAACTACAAGGAAATCTCGGATATAGTATGACCGACGGCCACAAGTTCAATATCTCAGGGATTGCATTATAAATAAGATACAAAAAATGGCTGACCTCTGGATCATCACTGACATCACTTTCTGTGTGGTGCGTACCTCCATACTATGTGTAGAAACCACGGGTTATGTCACTTCCAGTTTTTGGTAGGAAGTGATATCATCAGTGCCCCAATGACCCAGCAGTCAGACACTAGTCAACACTATACTTCCAATTAGTCCACAATTACTTGTAATGTAAGAGTTGCAGAGCTATACCAAAATGCGTTGGATTGAGGTTCCTCTTTACACTAAAGCATGACTAATACAAGCATGTTTCTCTGCAACCCTTTCTCCCCACCAAAAAAAATAAAGAATAATTTTTAGCATTTTAAAGAAAATTTATGTGAATTCTTGTTTTGAAGATCCTTTTCTACCTACTGCTGATGGAAAAACAGGGGTACATCCAGCAAGGACTCCATTCTACAGTGAACTTTGGTTCATTATCCTAATGGCAATTCTTGGGTTGCTGTTTGTGGCTATCATCTTGGCTCTGCTTCTCCAAAGAGCAGTCAATAAGCAACCATATAAACGTGAAAGGCCACCTTTAGTCCCATTGCAGAAGAGAACAAACGTGCCCAATGAATCCTTTATGGTAAGTTGTTTGGGAATCTTCTGTTAATATCAACAACAACAAAATTACATTTGTATAGCACCTTTCACGTTGGGAGGATATCCCAAGGCGCAGGACAGTTAAGAGTTTCTGACCCGAGCTGGGGGTCGGGATTGGGGAGGGTGGAGGGCAGGGGGAGAAGCAGGGTGATCAAAAGCACGGTCAAAGAGGAGAGTCTTGAGATTGGTCTTGAAGGGAGGGGGTGAGGCAGAGGGAGTGTGGGAAAAATTCCAAAGCGTGGGGGCAGAGTGGCAGAAGGCCCGCCTGCCAATGGAGGGGTGAGCGAGGTGGGGGACGTGAAGCAGGCCGAAACCTGCTGAGTGAAGGGAGCAGGCAGGATGGTAGGGGGTTAGGATGTTGCAGAGGTAGGAGAGAGCAATACCAGGAGGGCTTTGAAGGTGAGGACCAGGATCTTGAACTGTATCCTTTGTGTGATGGGAAGCCAGTGGAGTTGGGTGAGGATGGGGGTGATAGGGTCACGGAGAGTACATGGGCTGCAGAGTTCTGGATGATCTGCAGCCTATGGAGGGAGAAATTGGGAAGGCCAACAAGCAAGGAGTTTGAAAGTCAAGCCTCGATGAAATGAATGCATGTATATCAGGAAGAAAACTATTCTGCATTAGACGAGCACTATCTTATGCGGTTTGGGGCATCCTCCTGAGGTGAAAGGCACTATATAAGTATAAATGCTATTGCAATTATATTGTAAATTTGTTTTAGTTGTTTTACTTTGACTCCTCAAGCCCTCACCTGGCCCTTCGTGTATCACAAAAGTGCCATATAGCAGATGCAACACATGAGGCCGTTGACACAAACATTGACTCCCCTTGTCTTTCATTGTAGTCCATCTGTCAAACTTAAATTATCACCTCCCCCTCTCACTTTCCCCTTGCTCAGCGTCCAACCCCGGCACCGTGCCATCCTGCTTGAACGGTGCTATATAAATGCAAGCTGTTATTAAATTATTTTGCCCTCTTTGCATTTATCCTGGATGGTGCAGACCTGACAGAGTTTGTATTTTACGTCTGCAATTTTAGATATTGGCACATTTTACTGTTCAGAATCCATAGGATGCCACATTCTTAAACACGCAATGGCAGCTTCTTGCATTTTCTTGCAGAGTTAGATTTTTTTCCACATTGTTTTGTAAATACATTGATGAGAAGTACTGAATCCTCCAGCAGATTGTAAAGATAAACTCAATCCATACAGGTCACTTAAATTCAACTTGGGGAAGACTCTGACCATTAAAGTCAGCGTTTAAATCTTGGCAAAATGGAATTCTTAACAAAGCTGTCGCTATGTACTGAACGTTTGAACCCTATCAAACAATCTGACTCTAATCGATCTTAATCTGAAATCACTTTATTCCTTATTATTTACCTCAACTCGCTTTATTCCTGTTTATGCTTAAAATTTCAACTGAACTTTCTTTTCTCTTTCTTTCTTGACATTATTAACTGTTCTGTGTTTCCTGGCCAAGAAAACCTCTAAAGATGATAATGCCTCTAGTCAATATTCCAATATAGCCACGTTGCAAGTCCCTCTTGTACCTACCCCACTTGTGGAAGAAACACCCCAGGACAAGGTAAGTAGCTTACTGAGTTCTAAATTGGTACAAGCGGTGAGTGATGTCTGTTTTAAGTCAGCTCAATATGATCTTTTTGGTGAAGTCTAGGGTGTTTGTTAATCCACCACATTAACAAAAAATAGCATTTGCATCCTTTTAAAGGCTTCTTCAACCAGTCCTGCTTCCGACTGCATAAAATAATATGTTGTTGTTCCATGACCACAGTACTCTCACCTCAATGCCGTAGGAACATGTTTCATTAAGCTTCCTCTCTCCAAAAAACATGGAATATTTTCTCTAGCTCTCCTTCATCTTCTAAGGAAATGTTCTGCATAGATAGTTCCTGTTGTCTGTATTTCCTTTCACAGGCCAATATCCCCATCACCAGCCCCAACAAAACCATTATTTTCTTTACACCGTTTTCTCATCTCAACCTGTATCCGTCTCTATTAACTAACAATGGTTCCATTGGTGCTTGTATGTTTCAGGAGTACTTCAACACAACAACAAATTATATTTGTATAGCACATTTCACATCAGGAGGATGTCCCAATGCACTGGATAGTCAGGGATCTGCAGCTCTTACTGCTCTTGTGGGGGAGTCTGTACTCACTGAGGGGAAATCTATTCTCAGTCACGTTTTAGCTTGTTAACTAAGATTGGAATCATTTGTTCCAGTCTCACAGTTTAAATCAAATAGCCTGCTTATATTTATATTGTGTATCTTGGGAATGAACCAGGTTATGATTGTGGTGCTTGGATCCTACCACTTGTGCTTTATTATTGACACAATGTACCACAGAAATCCCAATACCATGCTCAGATGCCAGACCATTACACTTTTGCAGATCAATAGTCTGAGAAAGTCTGGCATATTAACAATGCAAACTCACGTTGCAAAGCTTGGTAAATCTGCCAACCCGTAGAGAATTGTTACCTGAGTTTACACAGAAATTTCTACTGACAAATTGGAATTTTTTTTTGTAGGTCATATCATCGTTTATTTTGCATCATGCTTATTTTTGACCTTTCAAGTTAGAAGGTTTTTTCAGTTTTCTTGCCCTGAAAGTCTAGAAGTGCAGATTCACTGGAATGGTAACCCTCTGGCAACCCTCTTCAGGTGAGAGCCTAAATGTTTACAGTCAGCAGGCTATTCAACCATACAAAGCAATATTAACATAGCCAAGCTTGAAACTATTCCCACCTCACACCAATTAACATGGGCTTGCCAGGTAGAGGGATCTCTGGCTGGTTATTTTCCATCACTCCCATCCTTTATGTCTCGGTGTCCCTCTGCCTTTCCTCCTCCCCCCCCCCCCGCCCCCACCCCACACCTTTAAACCCACCTTAAGACTTATCTTTTCGACCATGTTTTCGCCCACCTACGCTCCCCCTCCCCCCATTTTCACTCAACTCCCCCTGGCCCAGCTTGGACACCCAGTCGGCTATGTGAAGCGCTCTGAGATGTCATCCCAACATGAAAGACTGTACATAAATGTAAATTGATGGTGGTGATGATTTGAATCAAGGAACATAACCACGAAAAAATCAAAATTGTTATTCTTCATTCGATGAATATAAATGTCAATAATTTGAAATATTCTAACTATGGAAAGATCAAGTTCCACATTTACTGTCTAAACCAGACCTCATCACCGCTAGTATACTCCACCTTGTACAATGTGACTGGAGCGTAGCTGTTAACATTATCTTTCTCTTCTTAGTTTGACTCTGTTGCAGAGCCCTCAGATTCTTCAGGTTCTGTCACACTTAAGAGCTATACAATGTGCTTTGAGGTATGCCAGAGGGCGTGTAGCCTCACATGATGCTGTGAATAACTCAAGCAAGACTTGGGCCTTGCTGAACTGAACTAATTGCATGGTTTGTGCTGCATGGAGTGTGTGAATTTACAATCTCCTCAATGTTAGCGAGGCATTTTCTTCAATGAAAGCTGTTTGACAACGTTTTATGAAAACATGCAGATGTACGGGTAGAAATTCCACTAAATTTGGGACTAAATTTACCCTATTAACATTTCAGAGCATCCAGAATTCATCGAATTCTTAAATATAGCCTTTTTGTTTTGAAGTTAGTTTTCTGTACTTTTCTCTGAAGTGCAATGACTTGCATAATAGGCAAACGTGGCAGCCAATTTGCAAACAGCAATGCCCAATGAACATCCATGACGTAAAAAAAATGACTGAATTTATCTGGTTGGCCAGCTCACCAGGGCTCTCTCTTCAAATAGTGAAACGGGATCTTTAACTCTACCAGTCAAATGGGAACTCTGTTTAAGTTCTTATCCTCAGCACTGTATTGGAGTGTCAGCCTGAACTATAAGCATAAAGCACCTGACGTGGAACTTGAACCTATAGCCTCTGATTCAGAGTTAATAGTGCTACCGACTAAGCCAGGCTTACATCTGACAGATTTACAAATTTACAAGACACGCAAATCTCCTCCTTCCCCCCACTGTGCGTGAAATAAATTTGTAGTATGATGGCATTGAATAAAATACTACGTCAATTGTCAGCGTGGTGGATTGGGCTTGTGATCCATTGCTGTTCGCATTCGGCATCATCAGCGGGGATCTCAACTCATATTGCCAAACAGTAGGAAACATATTACTCTGTGGACAGATTTCATATTCTTCATGATAGTGCAGGATATTCTTTACCTTCCCTTTAATGCCTTTGCCTCAGTATTATGCCAAATAAATGTTATTTTAAAAAGGATTTTTTCTTGTACAGCTGTATCCATGCTCTCCCTGCTGCCTGTTGAGGAATGGCACCAAATACAGTAAATCTTGATATTTCGACCCTGCCTTAACTTGTCACTAACACTCAAGTCATCATTCTGTCAGTATCCTGGCCGCATTTATTTATGTACAGTATTTATACATTTACCTAACTCACCATTCTGAATAACTCGTCACTGAGTCCTTTTCCCTTGCATCAATGTTTACTGTAAAGTGCAATGCAATCCTGTTTTTTGTGCGTGGCATATTACATTCTGTGCATAGTAAATACACTGGAACTACTGTAAGCAAAAGGAACACTCACTGGTCTCTGATCCTTGGTATGAGAGGCAAAAACGGCAGAAATTGGTCTGACATATTAGTCTGACTGGTGGTGGCTGTTCCTCCCTTTACTGCACAGGAATACTGAGGCAGTGGTTAGAAGTCTAATTAAAATCCCATTATAAATACCCATCATCAATGTCATTGCACAAAGCAGCAAAAGGAATTTAACTCATTCCTCTCCCAGTCTCATTGACACACTCTTTGCTGTAGTAAACAGAGCCTTATTTTAGATCAACTTGTTCGATTGCTTTCTGAGTGCTCTAATATGCCACCCTGCGTGCTGTATAAGTGCAAGCTGTTGTTGTCACTTTCATCTTTGCTCATGATTCCTTTGACTTGCAGGGGCTCACTGACACAAAAATCCCAGAACCTGGATCTCAGCTCAGCAATCGGACCATGTCAGTGCTACGTGTGCCAAGCCAGAACCAGCTGAGCCAGGTCTATTCCAAGACCTCACTGCACCGAAGCGTCAGTCAGCTTATCAATACTCACGACAAAAAGTCCTTGCTTGAAGACTCAATGTGGGATTCTCTTTTGCAGGGTCGCGACAGCGGAATGGTAATTAAATCATTAATACGTAAAAGTCACTTAATGTTTGTGGGACACTGCTGTGTGCAATTGGCTGCCGTGTTTTGCCCATAAAGTATACAGTCAATTAACTTTACAATGTATTCTGTGAAGCGCTTTGAGACGTCTCAAAGAAGTGATAAAGTGCTATATCAAATGCAAGGATTATTATTACAATGTGCAGGACTCATGGAAGAAATGCACAGAATTTTGGAAGCAATGATCAGAGTGATCCCATTTTCAGATTCGGTGCAAATTGTACAAGTTCGAAAGTGAAGCCATGATTATTCATTCAATCAAATCTTAATTAACAAAGATTTCATGACATGATTGAATCTTATTGTGCATTACGTTTGATTAAATGACCCTCAGGTCTAAATCTCTTTCAAGCATTTGAAGATGCTGTAAACGGTGGATGCTTATCTAATTCCCTTTTCATTTGTGTTTCAGTACCCAGATGATGAAGAACTTTTGGAGTCAATCAAAGGTTTCAGTACAGTTACAAAAGAGCACACTATATTCACTGACACTCAGCTGTAGCTATTGCTCCTTGCATATTAAGAGTTCTGTTTTAAAGTTTTGTGTAATATATCTAGGTCGTGCAATAGGTGTTGGGAAACAAATCAGTAAATATGCGTTTAGCAAATCATTCTTGCCGCTCACCATCATCAATACTGTACATGTTGTTTTGTGTGTGCGGTTCTAAACTAGCTGCAGCAAGTTCCTTTCAATGAATTCATTTCAGGGCAGTTATCATTATGGATGCTGGGATCTATTTTCATCTAGTTTATAAAGTTAATGCCAATTGGGCATTTTGTAAATGAGCAGGGAGAATTGGAGGCGTTGTTTAGGCTACAACAATAATTATTCCCGGTTCTCCTTCGAGGTTGTTAAAAGTATTTTTTTTCTTTCAGCCTAAACCAGCCAATTAAGCTCAGTAAAGAAAAGTTTTTTTTAAATAATGTTTCCCAAATTATTCTCCCTGGTTTAACTTACAAGTGTTGATATATGGGTGTTCTTTACCCCCAGGTAAAGGTTGAGGTTTTGTCTCAGGAGTGAACAGAATAATAAGTGGGATTGGTATTCAAATTTTTTTTGTTATATGTGTACTTGTAAATGTACAGTTAGATAAGTTTGCAATGGAAACTCTGAGATCCCAGAGACAACCAAGGACTGGACTGTAAGGCAGCCCAGAAGAGCTTGCAAACTGTGGCAAAAGAAAATGAGAGTTCAACAGGCATCTATCTCCAGGAACCAAGGAGGGGCAGTGTCTGTGAAGAGTATTACTGAGAGGGAGTGGCAGAGTTCTGCAATCTGGTGGGTTAAGATCTCTCTGTGGCAGGCACTTATGTGCCATTAACAGTGCATGCAATTTACCACAGGATAATATAACTGCCTTCATTTTAATTGTTCTACTGTTATCAGCACTTGTAGCAGTAACTGCTAACACAAAGACCTCCTCTGCACTGCATAGTCCCTTTCCTACAGTCGATCCACTTTACAATATATTCTGTAAAACACCTTTGAGCCATCTCAACAACATGATAAAGCGCTATATCAAATTCAAGGATTATTATTATTATATGCTCTTATTTTGGTACTCTTTTGTAAATTGCTGTTTCTTCCTGTATTCTGACACCTGTATTCTGAGACCTCTTGGTTTTTTGGCTATGTTCCCGACTCTGTTCTACAAAACCTCAGAAGGTCTCACTTCACGAGGTTGTGCTGGAGAGTGCTAGAGATTATTTTTATATAGCCATTGTAATTCTTCCATTGCTAGTCTCCACATTTTACAACTGTAAATAACACGAAAATAGTTGTTTTGTGCTAATTTGGGGGCAACATCAGCATCTTTATGTCAGCACTGAAGTAGTCGGCTGAACAGCACACACATCACTGGGATGAGATGTCAGGTTTGAGAATAATGCATTGCAAACACAGTGATGTGAACGGACCTGTACCGATGGTAGAAAATGACATTTTCCTTGAGGTTTTAGGGGCTTGTGGAGAAAAACGTGGTTGGCTTGTATGTGAACTTATTGTCCAACAGAGGGCTCCCATATTAGTAGTAATTAGGTCCTGAAGATGTTCCCAGGTCCGCATAAGAATATAAGCATTTGTTGGACAAGAAAAGGCCATTAATGTCCAACAAGCCTTTATGTTGACCTTAAACTCCCATTATCCCATTGATCTTCCATCCCTTCTCTCTTTGAAAACATCGCCTCTTGAACCCTGTTTACTACAATATCCAGGCCTCAGATTTTCTTCATTATATCGGTCTGTAAAAATGGTTCCCTTTCACCCTCATTGTAACTGGTACTGCATCTAGGTGAACGACTTCTTAGAATTGAACGATGAGCCAGGCAGTGAGACCTGTCAACCATCAACCTTGGATTACTTCAAACTACACCTGGCTGGACTGTATAATATTTTCAAAATACTTGCAGTGGAATTGCTAACAAGAAAAAAATTCACACAAGGTATAAACAAATAAAAAACGTGTGTGTGGGGGATGGGGAGGGGTCTTTCTCAGAGTCAGTTTAACCCTATTTGGTTTACTGCACCTCAGACAAACTTAAGCACAGTTGAAATAATTGGGTTACAAATTGATCTTTTTTCTTTATTGACCCAGCAGATCTGTTATTCCAACCTCTTATTTTCAACTTTTGCTACTTGCAACATCTGGAGGACCTCTAACATTCTTTAGGACCTTTTCTTTATTCATTTTGGAGTTACATTTGTTTTCATTTATTTTCTGTTTCCTGCTTTATAGTTTGTAACAAGCTGTGAAACATAGGAATGATATGGTTATCCTTCCCAAGGTTAATATCTCCCTGTTGGGGTGGTCAATTAATCTAGCAAAATCTAGTGTTTTCAATAGTGACGAATGCACCACAGTGTCCTGCTCAAATCCCATCAACTCTTATCAGCCTCTTTGGTGCCAATATGCATGTAGTGGGAATAGCCCACCATAGGTTTGTCATATTAGCGACAAAGGGAATTTTCCCACCCTAATTCTTTGTCTGTGCAGCAGTATATGAATCAACCGTTCAAACACATTTTCAAGAACTACAATTGTTTCGCCTTTTTAGTTTTGTAATCCTTTTGAAATGATTTGCTTTTACAAACCAGTCACTGGAGGCATTCCACTCAGCTCCTGTTAACCCTGCAAGCTAAAGCCCCAACTAGGGTTGTCCTAGCTGGACAAGCAGCGGGAAAGCATGCCAGACAGCAATCTCAATGTCAAGCTATGCGGTTTAACTGCTTAGACTCCAGGAGTTACCCCAACAAACACTCTGGGGATCCCTAAGCCTTGGCTCTTGCCAAACTGGGCCTAATACTTCCCAGAATTAGTTAAGCAGGATACGTCCCTCCAAGGACAGAGTGCGCATTCCATTCCAACACTCTATCTCTGAGATTTCCATGTATAGGTGAGATGTATGGAAATCTCAGTTTGGTTTGGATACTCTTAAGCATAGTGATGAGAATCCACATGTGGAAAACAGCTTTTACAAACAGATGCTCCTTCATTCTTAAGCTTGAAAGTCTTCTAAGGAATGAGAGACAAAGAATCTCCCACAAAGCGAGAGTGACTCCAGAGTTTTGACACCTGTGTTGAAACTTTTTTTTTGCCTTAATGCATTCCACGCCTGAGAGTGTAACAATGAGAAGACTAACAACTAAGAAGACTCTTGGGGTGTTAATGATTTACAAGGAAAATCAGGTCATCTGTGCCTATCAGAACAATGTTGATGAGCGAGCAGTATGAACAGCAGCAACAAGCTGACATGAGATTCTATATAAATAATTCATAATGAAAGCTCTGGGTATTCAAAACTCCCTGTAGGCTGCTGTTTAGTTACATGATATCAGTTTTACCACAGCAAAACTCATCCAATATGTGGCATAGAGTCCCTTGTCTGTTAAAATACCTGTACTTCTGTTAATAGAGCTGAGCGAGCTCACTGAGCTCAGATGAATTCGGTCCAGATTTACATTGCAGTACCTTATTGCAGACATTGTGGATTTATAAATCTCTGGAAGGTTTGTATCAACTGCACCAGTGGCCGAGTGCTAAAGCCACCTGCCAGACAGACTGCAAGACTTCAGGCTCCAATTCAATGCCCTGTATGAGAGCTGGCTGATCTCAGACAGGGCATCAACTGGAATTGCTCCAGTCAGCCTTTCGGTTAGGGAAGAGGAAACCAGTCAGGCTTCCCACATCGGATCATGGTCGAGAACATAAGAATTTGCTAGACGAAAGAAGACCAAGGTCCATCTAGTTCGCCTTCCACCATCCTGGCAGTCACTTGACATGTCGTGTCCCAAATATACTGTATCCTGAGATCTTATTTTCTTGTAGAAATCTATCTAATTTGTTCTTGAAACAAATTATATTTTCTGCTTCCACTGTCTTCCTATGGAGCCTGTTCCATAAGTTTACTACCTGTTTAGAATCCTGGATATGTTTGGTTGAGAACAGGCAGGTGGATTGGCCTTGACAATGAAGAGATGCAACGGTAGAAAATAAAATTTGAGAGAGGGGAAGCAAACTTACCTGTTTTTTGCAATGCTGCCCCCTCTCCCCCAACGTTATATTTTTTACAAGAGTAATCTTAGGCAATTTTTGAAAATAAGGACATAATAAATCTAGGTGAAGGGGATGGCTGGGAGCACATACAAACAGAAATTCAATCAAGTGAGAACATTTCTGAACATTACAGAAGAATTTTAAGTGTTGCAAATGACTTTTGAAAGTCACAAACAATAAAACTAAAATCTCTTATCTACGCAAATACTTTTATTGTAAGTCTCCTTACACAATGGCAGATTGGCTTGCCTGTACTTCCAGTGAAATTTAAAACTGAAGGAATATTACCAACAAAATGACTGAATGTGTCATGATACATTTCATTCAAGATACAGCCTGCATTCAATTAAGAAATTGCACCCTTTGAAAGGAATTAAATTCCCTAGATTCCTAGAACAAGGAATGCATTGTTTTTTTGCTGTTTGTTTCCACTAGCAGCATTAGTCATCATGCACTACATTAAATATTCGTCAAATGTACTGCTCAACATATTGACATTTGTCTAAAAAATTTTTTTACGCTTTTCCTGGCTATATTGAATGGTACCAGTAGTTTCATATAAACATGACATATCTAGCAGAATGCCACTGAGTCAGTCTGATGTAAGCTTCTATTTAAAATTCAGCCTTTACTTGAATTATGTGATATTGGTTAAAATAGCATTTAAACTTTGAGGTGTTGTGCAGCACACATCTTTTGAAACTTTACAATTTAGATTTCCTGTGAACTGAAGTACCTCTTCATCAAACATATTGCCTGTGTTTCGCAGCTAGGTTCAGAATGAAGGAAAGGTGCATCAACACATTGGACAGACGCACTTTAATTATTAATGGCTTTTGCGTAAATTGGAAACATGACAATGGGAGCAGTGAGTCCAACAGTAAGACTTCTTGATGCAGAAACTAAGATCAATTTCAAGTTTCTAATCATATCTTTTGTTCAAAATAAAGTTTTGTCTATGAAAATTCTATAACTTATTTTAAAAAATGTTTGATGTATCTAATATGAACAGCATGGTTATCCTAGTAAAACAACTTGTTTGTTTTATAATCATTCACCACGTATAGTATATGTATTTTTGTGAGAGTAAATTATGTATTTTTGCATAATGCTTTTGTATATTTAAACTCATGTAGTTCAAGTCAGTAGTGAGTATTGCCTTGCGAGTGTTGTGTTATATGGATTGTATGGATTGTGACATGGTCCATCAGAGTTTATTTGTATACTTAATAAAACTTTGTACACAGCTGTAAATAAAAATTGTATGTGGTATCATTCCCAAGAACAGTTTCAACTCTGAGCTATGGAATGGCAAGATTTGGGGTAGACAACGATTAGACCAGGAGGCAGCCAATTAGATCACTAATATTATGTAATGCTATCAACAGGAGGTTAAGCAAAAAATAACAAATGAGATAACGAAGGTGTGAAAGACTCCAGTGATCTGAGAAGTTGCTATTGAAATTGGAGTACAGCTTGTTTTCCACCCTTCTCCCCTTTTTTTTGCCACTCCCGCTGTTTGTAGCACTCTTGCCTCTGGATTTGACCTCTGCACTTGCACTTCAACTTACACCCTTGGCTGGAGACACTACAGTAAAAAATGCAGTGAAGCACTTTGAGATGTCCTCCTCAAGTGAAAGTATTATTGTCTATTTGCTTTATTATCCTATCAGTGGAAGACAAAGTATTACTGTATTTTAGCTGCAAAGGAAGACAGTTGTCCAGATTAAAAAGCAGTTGCCATCCTTGCAAGACTATAGCGTTGGTTATACTCTTCCTGACATAAAACCATGTAATATGATGGCACAAAAGCCTCCCAAGAATTCCTCCTTCCCACTCAATGAAATTAAGGGCTGGCTATTTCATCTTGTGTAGCTCATCTTGTTTCAAGTACATCAGAGAATACAGTTATTGTGAGCATTAACAAGTCCACACACGGTTCATTTACCAAGCTGTGTTTTTAATTTATCAATTGAATATGGAACAAAGTGTGGAGTGCAAGTTATAAAACTGCAGTCAATTTTATACCATTGACTCAAGATACATTTTAGTTACTGTAATTACTGCTTATGTAAAAACATCCCTTTCTGGTTTTCAGTTAAATCAGGAGTTGAGGTGCTTGAAGCAGATCGTTCAGTTCTTTGTACAGTACTGTGCAAACCTCTGATATTGTGTCACAATCCATGAACTGTGTACACTTCCAACATGCCTTAAATATGTGCAGTGAGCATTAGATCAAGAGCTTCAAACTCAGGCACTTTCTATTGCTGATGTCATGACCACTTAGGGAAATCAATTCCCATTTTTGTTGTGATTGGACATAACGTGAAAGGCGGAGCATTGACATAGCAGGGAAGAGGATATTGCAAAGATAGACAAAAGATGTCTAAAAGAGGTTTGAAGTGTACCATCTCAATGCCTAATTTTGGTGAAGCTAAAAACCCTATTCAGTTTCTTTTGAACATTTCTAGAATGTGAAAATCTGAGCAGAACATTCAAAGGAGCAGTGAAATTAACATGAACAACAATTTCACTCTCACCACTAGGATCACTGAAGGTGATGCACATGTTTTCAGCTGTTGTGTGGAGGGGATTCCAGTCATGTGTTTGGCAGCTTCCTTACTTCCCACCTGAAACACAGGAACAATTCTAGTGTCTGTGTGAAACCAGTACACTTGCAACAGTTGTTTAAAGCAAACCCAGAAAGATTTCCCAATTTACCAACCAGAACGTGGCTCTAGGATGATTTGTGCTATCTAAAGCCCAAGTCCCCAAATAGGATGTTGGATTGGCAATATATAGCAACTGTTTATTTGTGTACAAGGCCATATTTCACAGCTCGTTTGACTCCCCATTTACAAGTTGTGTATAATGCACTGTGATCATTGGTGCAATAGTAAGTACTGTATTTACCAAAGCACAAACGTTTAGAGCATTTTGAGACTTAAGAAAACACATGCTCTTCCTAATGCCATTTACCATTCACAGAAATACTGTACATACTTTAATTGCATCATTTCCCCAGGTTTACAAACCTTAAAAGGAATTCACCTTGAACCCACACAGAAGAAAGCTCACATAGGCAATAATATAGCTTGCACCACTTCGATACAGCTAACAATGAACATTTCCTGTAGAAACAGTCCATGAAAATTATAGAGGATCATATCTGATGTGAATCAAACAAACAGATGTTAATTAAAAACAAGCTTTGATGGGCTCAGCAACTGGGGGTGGGGGGGCAGCCTGTGTCAATCACTTACTTATATGCTGGTGCTTAGTGAGGACAAATATAACCATTATGCAACCAAAATCTTTAAATACAAATGTGTAATACTGAGAAAACAAATAAACATGTAGTAAGTCTTCAAATGAAAATGTGATAGTGTACAGAATATATGTGAGAATACTGTAGTGTTCAATAACTAAGTCTCTTGTTGGTTAAAAATCAAAGCAGTTTCATTGTAGTTACGATGATTTACGCGCTGTGTTCCTGGCTTGGAGCTTCGGTTTTCTTGTGGCGAGGAGAGGTGGTCACTTTAGTTGGCGACAGTGAGGCAGCACTGGGAGGCTCACTCCCTCCCTCTAGCAACGCTGCCCACTGCTGCTGCCCTGCAACAGGTTTCTTCCTGCTCAGAAACCCTCCCTCAAAAGTACTTTTCTTCTTGCTCTCAGCCTTATCGGTTTCTTCATCTGGTACCTTTTTCTTGAGGTCAGCTGGGCTGTCGACCGCTTTCTGGCTTTCCAACATTCCGTCTGGACTCTTACTCACTCGTGTGTCTGTTGTCGGGCCTTTTCGATCAACAATGCTACACTCTGTAGCTCCAGGCTTCTTTCCTTTCAGTTCAGCCTCCAGCTGCACTGAGGAGTCGCTCTCATTACCAGCACTGCCCTTGTCCAAGACATTTTTACAGAATGTAAACGGCTGAAAATCGCGGTAGGTGTGAAAGCTCTCTGTCCTCCTCGCTCTCGCTAGCAGTGGACTCTCCCTGTATGGTCTCACAGAGCCGTATGTTGCAGTCTCATGAGGAGTCTCTTGGGTCTGAAGCTGAAGACTACAGGACAAAGAAACATAAATAAAACAATCAAGAGATGACTTTTTAATGAGTACAATTAAGTCAGTGAGTGTTCAACCATCACAAGCAAAATATGTTACAAAATAACCAACTTCTGTTACAAGAATTCTGCCAATTTCATTGCACACCACCATTAATTATACATTACCGGCATCGTCAGCAAACAGCTTTTTAAACGTGTTTACATTCACCACCCTCGACAGTTTTGAAGGTTACATTTCCTTCCCTCTTTAGACGAGGTGCTTGTCATATTCTGCATGTGGTTGTAACTTACATCTCATCAGACTGTGGAACAGTACGTCAATGTACAATTAGCACAAATAGCTTAGCTTGAATTGGCTGGAATTTCTCCCTAGTGTGCCTGAAAATGGACTGAGGCAATGAGACTCTGCCGCTCTTAATCACCATTCTCACATCTGACAAGCCTACTTTGAATCCACTCCAGAGAAAGTGCACGTAAGGGAGGGATTACAACCTCTGTTGAAGTCATCAAACTATCACCCACAAACTGGCTGTAGAAAATATAGGATTATTATTACTATTTAAAAATACGAAAGTAACATGTAGCAATGTTGTAGGGTTAAATAGTTGGGGTCTAAACTGGTGCTGTTAGCTAACACCATTTCCATTCAAAACAATGAAAACATTTTATTAGTTTTAAGGAATCATCACATGACAAAACTTCAGATAAAGAAGATTAAAGTAGAGTGTGACACTGAGAAACATATCCCAGTCCTGTGGCTTTCAAAAAGGGCTGAGATGATCAAGAGAAAACACCCAAGAAAGAGGTTTCAGTTCTACTCAAAGAGGTTTTAACTCAACTCAAAACGTTTCCCACTGGGTCTGTCTTTTTCAGGACGGAATCCTCCCTCAGGTAGAATTGATAGTTAAAAGGGGAGAAAATAAAAAAAGTTTATTTGAAAACAGTTACCTTGAGCTTGACTCCCGTAGTTTAGCATGTTGTACGAGAGAGGCTGCTGGACTGATATTAGGAGTAGCACAGCGGGACGTGCTCAGATCACACTGATCCAGCAGCTTCAGCAGCTCTTCCTCAGTGGGACCTCCAATATCTACAAGGGGATCGATTAATTTATGAACAACAGGCACATTGATTGACTGTTTTATGCATTCAACCATACAGGAGATCATCTGCAAAAATTCTTTCAAAATAAATCTCTTGGAACGTAGTTTTGTCAAGCGGCTGTGAACGCCCGCAGCAAAACAGAATATTTCACAAACCACCATTCTCTCTGATGCAAGTCTTAGTTTAAAACCCTCCAAAGGATCACATCTGCACTAATTTATGTGGCATCAGCTACAATTGCTAGGAAACAAATAACAGTATACTTTACAGCAATTGCATCAGACATTTAAATCACTCTGTTTGCACATAATATATGCAACACAATAATGAGCCTGGTCAAGTAAGTGTTGGTCGGGGCTATTGCACCACAGGGGGCATCAGCCAAGCTTAATCCTATCCTTAATCAACATGAAAACACATTGACTTTTCATGGATTGGCGGGGAGAAAAGGGGAGGGTAAAGGGGGGGGAGAAAAGTCATTGGATACTCATCAGGAGCAAAACTGGCTGCTTTTAACCTTCAGAGGATCCAGTTCCAGATCCTGGTCCTCACCTACAAAGCCCTCAATGGCCTCGCCCCACCCTACCTCGGTGACCTCCTAACCAACCTGTCTGCTCCCTCCGCTCAGCCAGCTCTACATCTCCCGACCCACCCACCCCACAATTGGCGGGAGAGCCTTCAGCCACTCTGCCCCCAACCTCTGGAATTCTGCCTCGCCAATCACTCCGCCTCGCCCCCTCCTTAGCCTCCTTCACGTCCCGCCTCAAAACTCTCCTCTTCGACCATGCCATTGGTCACCCTACTTCCCCTCCCTTCTCCCGCCCCTGACAGCTCGGGTCTGAAATGCTGTACACTGTCCAGCCCCTTGGGACGTCCACCTGACGTGAAAGGCGCTATACAAATGTAATCTTGTTGTTATTCTCTACTTTAGCAATGATGTACCAGAAATGTACCATTTGCCCCTTCCCTCAGATTAGCACAGCTCTGCAAATATGTTGGTCAGTGCATAGAGAAAGCTCTCTTGTTTAGCATTTACAAGATGGTGCTTAAAATGGACTTTGAATTTGGTGGGTTGAGTGTCTTGACACATGCAGGAAGCCATACTATTGAAAAAAGCCAGAGTATTGAAACCAGAGCTGCACAATGCTAGCCACGGACACATGGAAATTTCCATGGTGTACAAAAGGCGCTCCTCATGTGACCAACATGATCAGGTTAAAGAGTTAATTTACCCCCCTTCCCCCACCATCAGTAAAGTACAGAAAAGAGGATAACTGAACCATTTAACACCATGGTGCATAACTTACAGTTGTTTCTTTTTTAACCTCACCTCTCTCTTCCCCTTTGTTTGCCATGTCCATAGCTGTGGTCAGATCCCACATCTGAATGCTCCCATTCCCATGACCAGTGAAGAGGTAGCGCCTTGGCCGTGAGCCCATCCGACTGGATCCTTCACATTCCCGCACTGTAAATGAACTTATGGTTGTGCAATCGACTGCCTGGATCTCACAAATCCTGAAATTCAAAAAGGTCCAGCAATGGGATTTCTGATGTCACGCAACTACACAATGACTGCAATAAAAATTGATCCTCAAAATATGGGGAGCGGGGAAGGGGGGGGTGGTAGGAGAATATCAGTAGATTTGTTCCATGTCTTACCTTTTCCCCGTGGAGGACAGGCGGACAAACAGCTTGCTCGTGACTGGGACAACTTTCTGAATGAAAACCTGCTGGTCATCCCTCTCCCCAAATGGCCCTATAGGTCACAGAACAAAGGACATGGAATATTCAGACTGTTTTACTGTGGATCCACAGTCCATTACACAGAATCTATTCTGGATTTAAGTCTGGTATTTAACTATTTATCTTTGACTGAAAAGAACGGATCCATACTGGGAACTAATTCAGATTTCTAAACTTAACGATTCCGTAGAATCATCAAAACAGAAACATATTTCATCCAATTGGTCTAGACTGGATTCACCCCCAGGTGAACAGACAAGACAATGAAACTGGGCAAAGGGAATACTAACGTTAAAATATTATCATATGTTGGAACTTGAAAGATTTGCCTTTTGAATGCATAAGGCTATATTGTGCCTATATTTTCATAACAATTTACCTATCCTTTTGAACCCTAATAATATTTACCAATGTCATTCCCAGATGCATAACTACCATGACTCTCTGTTTCTTCCAGTGAGAGTATTTTAAAAGAAGCTAGTGGTGTAGAGCCAGGCTGTGTGGAGATCATTCCTCTGAAGCGTGTCACTGTCCAGGTCCTCACATGGTTATTGTCCGCACACACTGCAGGTCAAAAACAGGTTACTGCTAACTGCTATTAATCCCAGCATACCATTACATTTGCTGAATATCTATAGACAAATACAGAAAACAAAACGGGAGGAAAGACAACCTTAGATTATTTTCATAAACGTACAGAATTATGCTTTTGAGAGAGAGACAATTCATTATCAATGTGTTAATTATCAAAAATCACTACAGTAGCTGGGAGGGAAGAGGTTAAAGATTACTGTGCTTTTTGGCAAGGGGAAGCTGTGAGAAGGAAGTAAGCTTTGTACTGCTGAGAAGGAATTGTGGATGCCCCCCCTAAATGATCCACACAAATCATGTCACATTATATTCTGCTGGTGTTTCTAATTCTCGTTCCATTGGAAGATTAAAGTCCTCTTTATTCAAATTACATCCCCAAGGCAACAAGCAGGAAGAGGGAGAGGGTTTGTGATGAGACATGAAGTGGAAAAAAACAGCAATGATGGTTTCTGATTGAGCACGACGACAAATGGCCATCATCACAAAACAATCAGTCTCGGCGGATAAGTGTTGCATACAAAGGATCCCTCTGCCATTAGCCATCTTATCAAATCGAATCTTAATCTAAAAATAAACATTGTTTGATCTATACTGGTAAAAGTTATTTCAAAACAATAAACCAAACACATTGGTTGCCCTGTCTAAACACTGCAAAATCACATATACTGGTTGCTGTTGTGTCATGATTTATCATACCAGTGTGCCAATCATCCACAGACCTACATTGAAGGTTCACCCAATCAGTGGATTTTACTGACACCTTCACCAGCAGATGTTGCTCTGCAACAGTAACTAAACCTGTACTACACACATCATGTTAAAGACAACCACATTAATCAGTAGCCAGTAAACGCGGGCCAGCAATTTGATTGAAGCATTTTTAACTAAAAGTCTTCACTTCTTTAATGCCCACAAGGACTATGGTGAGCCAATTGATTGAAGTAATAGGACTGCACAGATAAATGTGTATGTAGTGAAATACTCTCTTAACATATATTGGGAATCAACTCCCCCAGTTAGTAAGGCCTATTTGGAGCAAGGTTTCGCAATTGTACTAAAAGGTCCACTTTGTTCATGGATCTGCCCCAGGTCCCGAGAGAGCTCCAGTTAATATAGTTAGCATCTGCAGAGTCTGGATACATTGGCTCTTTGGTTTGGCTCCAGTCTGAAGTCTGCCATTTGGGAACCCCTAATTAGTCTTTCAATGGTTTACCCGAATATCAGTTGATTTGATTGCCAGACTGAGGTAGTTAATCTCAGGCAGCAGAGCTACCAAAACTGACCTGAACACCCAGGGCTAGGACGATGGGCTGTGTGGGGTTAGTGGGACATCAATCAGGATTCCCATTCCTGATCGTTTTCCAGTGAGCCTTGCTGGATTTGTAAAATATGAGGGTATCTGACACTGATTGTACAGGTGACCAAAAAGTTGTGATACCATTACAGTGTCTAATAAGTCTTAATGAAATGATGATTTTTTTAGATCATAGGGTAGTTACCATAACTTTTTGGTTATCCTGTATAATAAGGGTCAAATGCAATATCCTCCAGTAGAATAGTCTCTACAATGTCTAAGCTTAAACAAGAAGATTAATCCCTTGGATGAAATACTATAGGGCAGCTAGCCACAATAGGACTTTATAGACACACACACACAATCCTATATGCACAAAGGGGAGAAGTGCAAATTTTAAGACTTAAGAAAATCTATGTAAACAAATTACAAACAATGTAGAAACTATACTGCTCACTGAAATACACAAAAAATTCTAACAACATACCAGATACTAGGTATTTTTCAGACAGCATGATTTTAGTGACTGGACTCCGGTGGACCGTGAAAGTCTGGAAGAGCTGAGGGCCTGAGCCGACTGTCTCAGGATGCTGGACTATCACGCGCACTGCTCCTGAGCTGGTTCCGTATGCGATCTCAATCCAGTTACCACTGACACCTAGAGAGTAAGGTCACAATCAACTCAAATTCTGTCAATAAACGTTCAAACATGGCAACTGTTCAGCCAAGTCTACCTGAAACACTCCACTATCCACCTACCCTGTGAAGAAATACTGTAAATTTGCCTGAGAAGAGATGATGCTTTAGTTAATTTGACTGTGCTAGGTTTTGTTATTCGTTGTTGCAACATATTTAGTTTTATTTCAGATGCCCAAAATTCTCAGTTTTTCTTCTTCCCCCAAAAGTTTGATTATTTAATTTATTCTCTGCCCAGCACTAAATTCACTTTAACTGTTTGCGGCTCTTCCCAGTACTTGGAACTCATATAGCCTATCTGACACTCCAACGAAGTGCTCAGAGGACTCTGCATTATTGGAGGTGCCATTCTTTGAATGAAGGTTTAAAATTAAGTTCCAATTTCCCTGTTCAGTGTAGCACTATTCGAAAAGTGAAGGGAGTTTCTCCCGGAGTTTTGGCCAACAATCCGTCATGTAAAATTGGATCATTCACTTCATGGTCACTTATGGGACATTCCTATGCACAAACTGGCTGCCACGTCCACCCACATAAAAAAAAAGTATATCCTGTGAAGTGATTTGAGACATCCTTCCAATATGAAAGAAACCATATCAACATCAAGGGAGTGATGAAGCACGAAAATGGATGCATTGTGAACACTGCAGTCATTGGAACAAAACGTACTTGTTTTAGGGGTGAGATACACACTCAGTGCAGTAATAGCATCGTTTGAAGGATCGTGATAAAGTTCAGTAACCAGAAGATCATTATCCTTCATTCTCAAAGGGAATTTCTGCATATCTGTAAAACAAAGAGAGAATCAATGCAAACTATGTACATGCTTTATTGTTTTAGGTGTCGTCACTGACATATGTACAGAAACTAGATTTACTAATTCATTCTAAAACAAAGATCATTTATTTTCTTACATGAAAGCTCCTATCATCTGCATATTTACTCAATGAACTGCAGATGGTTGTCTTGCAATTTTGCTCGGAAAACATCAAGACAACCATTGTGATATTGTACTGTTTCTAATGGTGCACTCCCAAGAGCTTCACACAACCACACACCACTCACACACACACACCCTTACCTATGTAATATATTGATCCATTATTACAGCCCAACAGGAGGAACGACCCTGCAGTATCATAACTTGTAATGGGAACAACTTCCTGAACCTATAAATTTAGAGGAAGACATTTCAATGTGGCACTTATAACTGAAAAGACACATCAGTCACAATATTCCAAACTTGGGACAAATTTTGCATTCACTGCAAAAAAAGTTTTACAAAAAATTATTTGACAAAGGTGAATCTCACCTCATCTATAGAATTCTGTCAATTAATTAAGTTCTTAATTTAAAAGAACAAAAATTAATAGAACATGACTAAGTGATCTTGAACCAAAAAGTGGATTCAAATTAATAGTGCAACTCTTTCTTCTTCTTCCTCCCCCACTTCCCCCCACAACTTAATTACTCCTTAACAAGTTAATTATTCTTATTATTGAATATCATTTATATTAAATATATAAAAAGTTTTTCAAAAGTGTTTTTATTTCCTTGCACTTCTACAGCTAGCCAGCTGAGAACAGATGCACAAGATGATGTAACCAAGAATATAGAGGAAATAAATTAACAGTGATGTTGGGACCAGTGAGGAGAAATTCCACTGGGGACTCATTTATGCACCATGGTAGGTGCATGAATTAGACCTAGGTTCTTTTAAGAATTACAGAAAATCAGATTTGAAATTAAGACCGAATTCAACAATTTGTCAATTTGACAAATTCTGGAGACTCTAAAATGCAACGTAAAGAGTAAATTTGGGTGGAAGTTCTCCCCACTCATTTGCTGCACCGCGTGGCTAACACTACAGGGTTTAGAAATAGTCAGAGGTGAATAGATATCTATCCATAAATTACAAGACAGTGATCCAGTTGAAGGAGTTGTAATTCAGCACAACCACAGGAGAATTTCTCAACTTGATTATCGTCTGTAGCCCATTGAGAGATATCTGCTATTGTGCCTAATGCATGATAGTCTGGGACTACACAGCCTTCATTAATCCCTCTTACTGTTCAAAGCACAGACTTTCCACTGGGGCTTTGAACCAATGACTAAAGGTGCAGTAATTTAATGAGGTAAACCTTCAAGATGGACTGGATCACAGTTTGAGTCACAGTTGTACAGTATTACATTATTTGTTCATTGTGAATTGCCACCTTGTATACAAGAGCTATTTTATGTCTGAATTGCTCCTATTTTAGCAAAGTTCTTTCACTTTTTGAATATAGCTTTACGTTTATAGAATTTGTACATTTTACTGGGGCACAGCATGTGTACCACTATTTTTGATCTGCCAGGTGTCTGACCCATGTGGAAGCCCATGATCTTGCTTAAGTGTATCCAAACCTGAGTTCACATATGCATGCCACTTACAATGGACATTTTCCAGTGTCTCGAATGGAACATACACACTATTCCTGGAGGGACACTCTCTGCTTACCTAATTCCAGAGAGCATTCGGCTTAGCTTAGTGTGAACTGAGGCTTAGGGACTGTATAGTGTGCATTTGGGTACTGCTGGAGTTTAACCAGCAAAAATTGCAGCTTGCCATTGAGAACATTGTCTGCCAAGCTTTTTGCTGCTTTTCCAGCTAGGACAATCTTATCCGTTAGGGCTTTGGTTTGCAGGGTAACAGGAGCCGAGTGAGAAGAATTCCATCCCCCAGAGTGGCCCCTCTAAGTCCTGCCCAGGGTGTTATCAAGAGATAAAATTATCCGAGATTGTGAAGGCAAGGAGATGCCTTCTTAAATAGCTCTGGGGACAAACCTGCTTCATGAATGGACCACAGGGTTGAAGACAGTAGTGGATGCAAAAGAAAACAGGATAGAAGAAACTGCCTTTTGAAAAGTGTCTCACCTGCCAATGTTGGGTGACTGCATTCCACACTCCCACTTTCCCAGTGTGACTGGTAGCCACCAGCTGGTTTCCAATAAAGAAGAGTGCATCCACTGGGACTCCAAGGCTGAAAACACCTACACATTGAAAATACAGTCAGTCACTGTGGCTCTACAGAAACCTGGCACTCCAGAGCTAGCAGCACTATAACTGACTCCTCTACTGGATCAGGCACTTAGGCACAGCGCCATTGGATAACTTTAATGGTCGGAATCCTCTTAGTTTAAAGAAAATATGATTCTCTCCATCATGATTTTCAAACAGAAGAAATGAACCATTTCTAAATAACCTCTTAGGTTAAGGGGCTTAGCTTTTAATAAGGTGGAAGACTGGTTGACAGAAGTTTGTAATTGCTGCTTTTTAGGTTTGCCATGTATTGGTGGCCTGTTACATTCCATTACTTCAAACTCTCTTTTCTCTCCCCCACCCCTCCCTTCTCCACAGCTGTTCAGTGGGGTTGGATTGTGAGTTCGAAAATGATGCCGATTCCACGTTTTTTTCTGCTGTGCAAGGTTACAAAGGAACAGAGGAAAAAACGAACACAAAGCAGGTTGATTCCTCCAGAGGGAAAAGATACTTAAGAGAAAATTATTCACGACAGCATGTGGGCTCCTTCCATACTCGAGGGTGTCTCTTCTGTTTAGCTAAAGCAGTCTTAAAAGCTGCAAGGAAGAAAAAGCACTTCATAAAGAATGACAGGAATGCTGCCCTGAGGGGAAGTATCAGGCCAGACAAAATATTCTGAGGAGCAGAGGGAGAAGGTGTCTGCAAGTAGTGTGGAAACTGTAAAATCACTAGGGATAGATTTCAATGTGGCAAAGTGCTAGTTTCTTTCAGGAATGCTCTCTGTATCACCTTTCCTACACTACCCAAAGCAGCTTCAGTATTCTGTACAATTTGACTTGTCACACAAGCACATCCTTTGATCAACATGGGTGAAAGAATCTTAAAAAAGATTCAAAATCTTAGCAGCCCAGTAAAAATAATGGCAAAGAAAGAATAGAAAAAGTGAGGGTGTGCTTAGGCTGCTCTTACATATCCCTTTGCAGCCAGTGTCAGAGTGGCAGTCCAGAGTGGAGTCCTGCAGTTTAGTAGTTAAGAACACTCACCTCGCAAGTGAGAGGATTCCCTAGGTTCGATTCCCAGGTAGGGCGAAACATTGGGCAAGTTTCATTACTCCATATGCCTCTGTTTACCTAGCAGTAAGTAGGAACCCAGTTGTTAATCGATTGGTGGATCGCTTTTTTTGGACTCAATTTGGACTGTTTGTGGGACACTTCTGTCGCAATTGGCTGCCACATTTTGCCCACAAAATATACAGTCAATTCACTTTACAGTATATTCTATGAAGCGCTTTGAGGCATCTCAAAGATGTGATAAGGTGCTATATTAAATTCAAGGATTATTATTATTAATCATGGGATTACAACTGTAGGAATGGCTCAGTGCTCACGTTTACTACCTCAGACAGAACATGACACTAGCAGTGAGCCTCTCAGTGGCCTATCAGACAGCTCAAGTGACATTTTCATTTCCTTAAAAAGAAAGATACTTCTACATTAATTTTGTTTTCTCAGTGCATCTCTTTTGTGACAGGGGTCGGATTCTGTAGTTACTCCACATCAATGTTTTTTNATTAGTTCAGTCCATGTTTGTTAGCCCATTGGTCCAATCTGTGTATGTTACAAGTACTCAAATTAAATTTAGGATTCCCTTTAAACTCTCAATGATTTGCACAAAAACAAAAGTACAAGGAGGCTGTAGGAATTTAATTTTAACTGTACATTTAAACCACCTTCACTTCTCAGAAGGTTACTTTAAAGAAACATTTTGATATAATTAGAAAACAATTCCAAAACACAGATGGTATCTACACACATCCAAGTAAGATTCACTGATGGGTAGGACTGTAACAGCAGCAATTGGAAGAAAATTACTCCTTTTGAAAATAAGTTCCTCAACCTAGACCTAGGAGCAGATTTCTTTTAAAAAAAACTACCCTGCATTCAAGCCTCAACTCTTCAGAACAAGTGAGAATATTCCAAATATTTCTGCCTAAGAATGTCCACCATACACAATTCCAATCCCAGCTTCCAGCACGTCATGTATCATGAATATTCATGTCAATTAAACAATGCTGCAATTTACATAAACATCTGCCACGCATATTAAAAGCACTTTTACCAATTGTATACTGACAACTGGTAACTTGTAATAAATTCACCTGGGGACGGGGTGGCCTCTCACGAGCCCTCGAACGGAGTGACAGACTCACAGGCAGCTACCGTAATGGTGATCACTTGCTTTAATTTATTTTCAAAATATGCATTAAAAGCTATTCTGAAATAGATTTGGGTTGACACTCTAATCTGTCCATTTGCAGCATTTGTCCCTGTAGGAAATGAAACGCCTGTGCAGCTTGCAGCAAAGGAACAATAGCTGTAAAAAGTGCAGAATCAGGACTTTCTGAAACACCTCCATCTTCAGCATCAGGATTCTCTCTCCAACTAAAGCTGAAGCATCCGGCTGGAAACTTTCAGATTTCCTGAATATATGAACAAAGGATCAGAATGCTTCAGGCAGTAAGTTAAACGCAGAACTAATTCCACTAACTAGCTGCCACTTTAAACAGCATTTAAGCAGTATGCTTCAGTTTTTCTTACTAATCGGACTGGACTCTCTCAACTTTTTTTAATATAAAAGATGAGGAAAAAATATCCATTCTGTTTAATTTGGGAGCTAATAGGGTTGTTCCACTATTCATGTTCAGATTAAACTCTGCCCAAAAATCTACAGTAAAGTGTCTTTAGAAGCCATCTCTTCACCCCATCTCAGAGAAAAGACAGAAAAATCCTCAAAACAAACCAATTCCCATTCATTCCTGCTGCAACACGACAGATCAACATTTCCAAATAGCTGTAATACAGATATGCATGAAATTGGAAAGAGTTAGTGATAACGGGCATTAGATTTTACATGTTGGTTAAATATAAATGGAAGGAAAAACTTAGTTTGAAGTATAACAGTCAAAACAAGCAGACCTCGGTATAAGTAGAAAACAAAGAATAATCTTAGGTAATAATCTTACCTGGCAAAGGTATCTGGCTGCCTGCATGAAAATAAAAACTACCAACAAGACCCATGATACAAGAAAAATTGTCTGATAACAGTACATTCTTTAAGTCTCTAATGAAAGACAAAGCACTTAGTTATCTGACAAAGCATTGTAATCTGAAACAGGTTGAACCTTGAGTCTGTAGCAGAGGAGGATATATTTCTGTGGGCAGGGCATATACTTGCAGTCCTGACCTCTACCTTTCCACCATCTGCCCTCACGCCTTCCAATCAAGTTAGAAACTGGGGCTGAAGAGCAGTGGTCAGTTCTGTAAGCACCAAGGGTGTGAGCTTCCAGTTCTCAACCTTAACTTTACTTAAAGCAAACACCTTCCAAGACAATAATTGACGGAAACGTTTTTTTCCCTAAATCCCACTGCGAATCTGTTTCGGTCACGCTCCAGTCAGAAAATAAAATATCATATGGGACAAATGTAATTATAATAGCAGATAAATTGGCAGTACTGTACTGTGCAGGGGATGAGGAATAAAACTGCATCAGAGAATTTCAGTGGCCTCTGTGAATAAGAACCACTGCATCAGGTTTGTACTTGCTTGAAGGTTATAAAGCAACCAAAGTAAATTTTGCGTCAGAAAAATCTACCAATTTCCACAAAACTGAATCCGATGGTATATTAACACCAGTTTAAGTGATTTCAATATTTTGGACCAGTCTTATGTTTGTGCCCAGTTAAATACTCACAGGTCTCTCCTTAGGATGCACGTTCTGTCCTTGTGATACTCTGTCCTTTACTCAGGCTGTCAGTCATTGAGAATTTGTTGTCGGTAAAGTTTTTTTCTGGCTGAGTTCTGGCATTTTAACAATTGGTTTACTCAGTCGGTGGTGGGAGGGGTTGGGTTGGTCAATAATGTAGTTTGGTGCTGAGACTGGGAATTTGCCAACAAATTTTAAAAAATGATAAAGACATGTTGATAAACAGTGCAATCATGTGAAAGAGGTCACTACGTGGAAGAGGTTTGTCTATAGGTTTTCTGCCTTGGTGTCAGCAAATTCTGGAATTAGCCGATATCCTGAGGTTGTTGAAATGTCAACACATCTTTTGATGACATAAAACCAGTCAATATACCATTGACTGCTTCCCAATGGGGTCTGGAGTATTGATTTTTTTTCAAATTTAGATTAGATTTCAAATGGACAAAGAAACCAGCAAATCAATTTCATGCAAACAGGATCTGTGCAAAGTCTGAGTCTATAGCGTTTTTAATACTCTTCACGCCTTCCAGGACTGATTTCACTTATCCTGCTCAGATAGGATTTAGCTGACGTTGAAAGGTTAGTGAATGGTGGGAGTTGGCCAATGGCTGGTTGAATCGTTTTCTTCCCTCGGCACACTCAGGCTCCTTGATGCTCCCATGGGAAGTAAATGCTCCAAAGATATGGAGACGAGAGTTAGTGAACTATAAAGCCGCCTCATTCATTCATGTTACCAGGAGTTCTAACTGATGCATGCACACAGCCTCACCTAAGATTAGATGAAAGGCTAATGCCGTACAGTCACTTATACACACCTATCTCATTGCCGCTACCACCGTCCTGAATGCTCCACAGGATAATGCTGCTTTCAGATGCCACAGCTACCATCTTGTCCTTATCTCCAAGAGGTCCTCCAACGACTTTTGCATTCAGTGCCACACGTTCGATGGCCCAGTCCAAATACGGACTGGTGAAAACCTGCTGCCATCCAGAGGACTCCTTTATTCTAGAAATTAACGTTGAGCATACAATTAGAAATCCTTCAAGTAGTCGTCGCTGCTGTGCACACAACTGAATCTCCCGGTTTAGCAAAAGAGGGCATTTTGCATCAAATTGCACATCCTATTTGCTTAGTGGTCCCTAAGCATTCCAAGCCTGCTAAATCTAAGGTTACAATTCGAATTTTAACCAGGGAGCAGGTACAATTGATCTAATAGTATAGTAACAAAAGTGCAGTCTTGAGAGGCTTTCATCACCTCACCCTGAAATTAGTTCTTTGTCACTGGTTTCAGACATCTATAAATCCCAACAGAGAACGAGCTGCAGATAGTAACAATCTTAGTGTTCAGAAGGCATATACAAACTATCCCACTTCTCTCTCATGATGTTGATACAATCTGAACTCCTAACCTTGTAACACACTTGGGTTAGCTTTCAACACTCTTAGAACAGTGCTTAGAAGTTATGGATCTTCCAGACTGCAAAAAGAAAACAATAACCCACAACCATCAATGAGCTATCAGGTTCTAAACTCTTGCTGTTACATATCGTTAGGAAACCCAGAAAAGTCAGAACCAATCCATAGCTTCTTGTTAAAAGACAGCCATTATCATGCATTTTTCTGAGGCTCTTATCCTAACAGGCATTATCCAGAAATACATTTTGAAAAAAAAATTCAGAGTACAGAGCCATTCCCCAAATCCCATTTACAGAGGAGGGATGTTTGTCCAGGAGCATTCATACCAAAATAGGGATGAAGACTCACAGCAGACAATAACATAACATGTAGGAGCAGGAGTAGGCCATTCGGCCCTTCGAGCCTGCCCCGCCATTCAATCATGGCTGATCTTCTAATCTAACTCCAGCTAATAACCTAACCCTGCCTTATCCCCATATCCCTTAATCCCTTTTGCAATAAGCAACCATCCTCACTCTGCCCAATGGAAGCTAGCTAGAAATAATAATAATCCTTGCATTTGATACAGCACCTCATCACATCTTCGAGACGTTTCAAAGTGCTTCATAGAATACACTGCAAAGTGAATTGACTGTATATTTTGTGGGCGAAACGTGGCAGCCAATTGCGCACAGCAGTGTCCCACAAACAGTCGTGGATTGAGTGACCAATTTATTATTTTTCTGAAGGAATTATTACCCCCGGAAAAGCGATATGGACCTGAATAAGACATCTGGCCAGCAGATCTAATGTGACATGGTTAAAGTTTAATATTATAAGGATATCTCTGAAGGCTTTATGAGGAAAGTACTTTAGATTAAAAGTAGCTGCTGTTTAAGAATTTTCTACAATTCTACGAGATCTTAAATTTGAAGATAAAACAATCTTACAGGCTACGACTTGGAAGAATTTGGTTTTTTTTGTGGGTTTTTTTTAAATTGTGGATCTGAGCTTATAGAAATGACCAGCAGTTCATCAGCTGCTTAGCACCATCACTGAACTGATACAGATTGGAAAATTTAGGCATCAACATGAATGGACTGAAATAAGCAGAGTTTCTTCTACAGAAACCAAAAACAATGGGAGCAGTAAATAAAAGGTGGAAATTTGACAAGTAGTGCTGATTTGGCAATCTCTGGATAGTTAGTTGGTGCCTAGCACTGATTTTTAAAATTTACATTCCGAAGCTGTACATCATGCTGGCATTCAAGCATCTGTGCGCTATGAGTAAATCAAGTGCCCATATAGCTAATACTATCAAACTACAGCCCCTTCAAACATCCAGTCTACCACTGCACTGTTGCAGCCCTTCCCCTATCTAGCCTGCTAAATTATCCATGGAGTTTCTGACTTTGCCATTACTTCACTCTCCACCCCATGGCTACCATCACTAACTTTCCCAAAGCTAATCTCTGCCAGTACCAATCCAAGATGCATCGTAGGGCTTCTGGCCAGGAATTAAAGGATGAAGACTCGCTGAGCACCTCAGAAACATTTCACACTGAACTATGAATTATTATTATGCCAACACTTACATATTTTAAGCTTAATTTAATTTAACAGTAATTTAAAAAAGAAGTATTCCCAAATTTCTTAAATTTATCACTTGTGCCTGCTGTATTTGCCACTGAGCTGGGTTGAGAGATAATGAGTATGCTTAAAAACTACTGTTGGATGATGCAACATAATTCATAGCTTGCCCCTGGTTACCTCAAATATAATCTTCATCCTTTTATCAGTGTCTGCCTGACTTCTCCCAGCTGCTGTGTAAGATTTACTGAAACCATTTAATTTATGCCAAACTTTCATCTTCAAAAAGTGAAACCGTATTTATTTGGGGCCACATGGGCTCTGCGTAGCTCACCGTCTCCCCATCTCTAGCACTATGCTGATCCTCCTTTATAGATTTGCAAAGAAAAATCGCTTCTTTAAAATTTCAAAGACCTAAGGGCTTGAACACAATTGAGCTCCTTTAAAAACCAAAAGACTAAGGATACAATTGAAATGAGGATTCCCAACAGAAGACCTGTCAGACTGTAGATTAACTCCTGGAGTCGACTTGTGCCTAGCCATAATACAAACTGAAATATTATCACCCAAATTAATTCTTTTCCTTATAGACAAACTACTTGCACTTGTGCTGCTACAAGCTCAACTGAAATGTTAGCTTCTACTGCCTCCAATCTTGTCTGTAAACTCTGCATACATTTCAATGTGTGAGAAATCAATGAGAACATACAAGCAATCAGATGCTACTGAATTCTTTATTCAATGTTCTAATATGCTGGGCCTGTAAATTCCCAACTCTCTTATTAAATGCACATGAACAAATATTTGATGGAACCGATTAACATAGCACAATTTGAATAGACTAAGGTGCTTATTAGAGACATAATTCAAGATTTACTATTAAATCCTATTTTATTGACAGACTCTGAGCAAAGTGGCTTTGCCAATGCTACTTTTAACAGATTCCTTTTCAATGTCTTGAGAGATATACCGTCCCTTGGTTTGTTTCACCATCTCCTTGCCTGAGTCTGCAGACTCAACACAAAGGAAATCAAACCTTGGGAAATTGAATCATGAGTGTAATGGTGCAGTTAAATAAGACCTTTGAGGTTCTAGTGTTTACTCTTAGGTATGTTATCCTTTTCTCCATTACTAGTTCTTAAACCACAAAATCAGAGAAAAAGACTGAAGGCCTCCTTCTGAATCATCAACGTTTGCAATCTAGGCCGGCAGCCAAGAGACAGAGGCCAAGTGAAGCTCCTCAGTTTACCCTGGAGGAGAAAGGAATGTGGAGAAGACATGACAGAGGCTCATTGAAACTCCACAGGGAAAATGCTGAACCTTCAAATCTGGCCTTGCAGCAATACAACTGAAAAGGTAAACTGGGAGGGGGCGGGGGTCAAATATGTCCAACCCCTTTGTGCTCTCAGCACTGGTGTTGCATATAATGTCCCATATGAAGTTGAGCGTGAGTGTGAGAGCTGGGGTGGCGGGGGGGCAATATGGCTCTACAGCAATTAAATCATACTATCAACTATAATTATTACCTGTAACAAACCACAAAGTGTGCGTAGGCTGCTACAATCCAGTTATGATGACCAGCAACTATTAGAACTTTACGGGGATCTACCGCTGTACCTAGCAAAACACAATTCATAAGAAAATTACTGCTCAACCATAAATGCACGTAAAGACAGCAATGAGGGGGGAAAAAAGCAAATATGGTTGTGAAAGTTATATATTACAGTACCACCACAGATTACTTAGAATGAAAACAATTCACGTTCCTGCTATCACTACATCTGTACAGTCCTGGTTTTAAAATCGTTAAGTTCAAGTGTGAATATTCCAGTAGTATTCCAGTAGCAGTAACAAAGCTAGTTTCATATCAATAGAAACAGACTGATTTCCTCCACTGCATGTAAAACATGTTCATACTAGAATATTTGAAACTGGGGAAATATTAAACTAAAAATAGTTAAATAATGCATAATATATTTAATGCCTGACATCATTCAGACTGGATTTTGCTGTGTACAAAATGCCTGCTGCATTCACCTACAAAACAGTTACTACATTTGACAGAATCCACTATAAAGTGCTTGGAGATGTTTTGGCAAAATAAAAACTTTAAAAAGGCAAGTACTTTCTTCTCCTACCCCATTGAGAGAAATTGTAACTAACCCTAACCCTAACTCTCTACCCCCTCCTCGCTCCCTCCCTTCCCTCCCCTCACCCTGACCATTTCCCCGCCTGCTCGGGTCCTGACCCAACTGTACAGCGCCTTGGGATGTCCTTCCGACGTGAAAGGCACTCTATAAATGGAATCTTGTTGTTGTTGCTTTATATATATGTATATATATATAAAAAATCCTTGCATTTGTTTGATATAGTCCCTTATCACGTTGTTGAGACATCTCAAAGCTGTTCACAGGAATTACTGTAAAATCTGGTGACTGTATTTTGAAAGTGGCAGCCAATTTGCACACAGCAATGTCCCACTATCTTGAAGTGAATGACCAATTGAATCAGGGGTATTGTTGGCAAGGACACCAGAATAGTGCCTTTTTAAATAGTGCCATGGGATCTTGAACATCTATCTGAGTAGGAACACCTTGGTTTAACATCTCATCTTTGGAACAGTGCCCCTGACAATGCAGCACATCACCCAACATTGCACTGGAGGGATAGCCTAAACTATGAGCTCAAACTATCAAAGTGGGACTTGAACCCACAATCCGACTCAGTGATGAGAATGCTACCAATTGAGCCACGATGACAGAGTTGCAGGTGGGCTTGAATTATTGATTGACTGAGGAAGAGGACAGTATACAACGGATTGTTTATACCACTTATGAATGAGTATCGACAATTTCACAGTTGACAAACTCAAGCCGAGTTCTGCAGATCCCTTTCACAAATAGCTTCAAAGACTTGGTAATTAAGTGGACAAATTATCAGACACATTCACAAAGCAAGATAATAAAATACAGCCTCTATCCTTACCCAATCGGGCAGATCCCTCTGCAGAAATGACCCCAGCTGATGTACAAGGAGCAACATTTGGGCGAACTGCCCCCTCTGGTGCACTCGGTCCAGCTTTGGTCTCTTGTGAGGGTCCCGCACTTCCAATGCTTCCTTTTCTACTGGGAATAGCTAGCAGTGTTAAATAACACAACCACCTTTAACTATTTAAAAGGTGAAGCACATGAACATATTCTTTGTACAATCGAAGTACAGTAATGGAGGGCTGCAGCAGCAATCTCTGCACCATGTTCAAAAATTGACCACTCATTTTTTAAAATTTCTGCCATCAAAGTCATATAACCACACCACAAGCACGTGGTTCTTCTTAAAGAATGCAAGTGGTCTGTGTCAGTCTGTGATCAGCCTGGCCTCCCCATGACGCAGAGTTTCGCTGCACAAGTAAACCTCCACTGAAGTCATCTCACCCACAGTGAAGGATAGCCATCATAAGCATTTTCCTGTTTACATACCAAACCTCCCATGAAAAGCCTGAAGTTTACAATAACTTCTACCCCACCTTATCAGGTTATTTGAATTGATAATTATGGGATTGCAATCCCCCAGACTGGGGGGGGGGGGGGGGGAGACCAGGCATCTTCACAAGAGGAAGAATCGAAAGAAAATGAAACACATTCAACCCTTGTTGGTTTTATTTCCAGTTTTTCTTAGTGCGGCTGTGCAGTCGGTATAGCAAGAACAAATGGCACTTGGAGTGAATGCTGTAGCACTCAAACTCAGTGGTGAAGCTGACGAACAGCAGTGCTGGGGGATAAACATCTGCTGCTGTGTTTGGCAATCCAATGTCCGCATCAAACACACCCACAGCTGGTACAACACTGGCCAGATAGAAAATAAAGTTTTTTTATTCAGCCCCAACAAGGTGCCTTAACCAATCCACCAGATAAAATTTCAATTTCCCCACCATGTGTCAAAGCAAGACTAAAATGAGCATTAATGTGGCCTGACCACTCAAACTGAAGTAGTTTAACAGCGCATGTATATATTAGCCAGTCCACTGGCAGGAAGAATAATTTCTTCCCATTAACTAGATTCAAACCCAGGTACCAGAGATGCAAAACCATTGTGCTAATCCTATGGTAACAATGAGTATCTTTACTTTCAAACATAGAAACCACAGAGTAATTTACAGTCGGAGCCTTAAGTTTTCAATTGTAAATTGAAATGGCTTTCAGGTTCGACTCAACTTTAAAAGCCCCAATAACCCTGTAATGGAGGACTGCAGTGATAAAGGTCAAAAGATATCCGATTTGAAACGCTGTCAAGTTAAAGTTAGTGTACTGCTGATTCTCTTCCAACAGGTGGCACCATTTGAAAATTGAGTCCCTTGCAGATTATTATTGCACAGCAAAGGCAATATGCTGTGGAAATATTCTGCAAAGTACTTCTAGTTTTGTTCTCTTACATACATTTGCTTCCAACATAAAATAAAACACGTGAAGGTACCTGGAGGTGGCAAGTAGCCGTGGAAGAGAACACTGCCACACGACGAGCGTTCCAGTTCCTCACACAGCAGCAGGCGACGTACTAGTAAAAGAAATAATAAACTCGGGAGATGCTGGCTTTTACATATTGCAACCTTTAAACAATAGACCACAACAACCCTCTTCATGCAAAAGATAACCCAAGACAAGTCCGCCAACAAACGCATTACTTTCAAACAGATTGTGTCACACATGATAGAATATCATCTCCCTCCATTCCAAGTGTAAAAAGCCAACTCCTAAACACATTCAATCCCATAGTACATTCAATCCCAAGAATCCAAAAACCAGAAACCAAAAACCAAAATATTTAACCTAAAAATACTTGCATATTATGGGTTCTAATACATTAGAATACATTAGAATATACAGCACAGAAACAGGCCATTCGGCCCAACTAGTCTATGTGTTTATGCTCCACATGAGCTTTCTCCTGCCCTTTTTCAACTAAGCCTTCAACCATAACCTTCTATTCCTTTCTCCCTCATGTACCTCTCTAGCTTCCCCCTAAATACATCTACGGTATTTGCCTCAACAACTCCATGTGGTAGCATGTTCCACATTCACACTCTGTGTGAAGAAATTTCGTCTAACTTCCCTATTTGATCTATTTGTGACTATTTTATTTTGATGGCCCCTGGTCTTGGCGTTCCCCACAAGTGGAAACATCTTCCCTATGTCTACCCTATCAAAACCTTTCATCATTTCAAAGACCTCTATCAGGTCACTCCTTACCCTCCTCTTTTCAAGAGAAGAGTCCAAGCACGTTCAGGCATTCCTGAAAAGTATAACCTCTCAGTTCTCAGATCATCCTTGTGAATCTCCTTTGCAATAATAAAGGAATTTAGTTCTAAGAAAATAGTTACATACTGTAAAAAATATATAAATCATCCCAAACTACAGATAACAGCTTACTCATTTATTTTAATAAACTTTATTTTGTTCCAATGGCTCACTGTCCCTATTAGCAGCATCTGAATCTGGGATCTGGAATTTGTCTCAGTAATGCATCATTTGAGTTTCATTGCAAACTCAAGACTGCATGCAAAATATGGAGTACTGCAGATTCCCATGGGGGTAGATATAGCCTTCCATCTGTTAAAGCATTTATGGTTAAGCCAGGCTTGCTGAGATTGATGGTGGGTGAACTTCCACACATTAAAAAAAAGGATACATTTCTATCGCTCTCAGCTGCTTATTTGAAAGTTGGCTCTTGCTATCTCTGCTAACCATATTAGAATTCAGAGACCATATGTTAGAACAGAGATGAATAACAAAATATCTTCCTGCCTGCATACACCGCAATGTTAAAGGGAAACTTTAATCCTTACGTAAGTGTTGGAAATCACAAGGCTTGGATAATGGCTTTTAAATGTATTAGCTGCTTAAAGGCTGCCACTTAGGTACAACAGAGCAAATAGTTGGTGAGGATGGAACTGCAAAGAAGGTACGGAAGAGATTAATTCTATTTGATTGCAATACTAGGGGGCAGAATGGATGAACAACAACAACAACTTGGATTTATATAGCACCCTCCACGCTGGACGGCGTCTCAGAGCGCTTCACAGTAACGGATCCCGGGGCCGAGCCAGGGGGAGGGGAGGAAGGTGACCAAAGGCGCGGTTGAAAAGAAAGGTCTTCGGTTGAGCCCTGAAAATAGGAAGCGAGGGGGTGAGGCGAAGGGAATGAGGAAGGCAGTTCCAGAGCCTCGGGGCGTAGTGGCTGAAGGCACAGCCGCCGAGGGTGGAGCGGAGGGCTCGGGGGATGAGGAGGAGGCCAGACCTGGTGGAACGAAGGCAATGGGCACTATTTTGAGGAGAGAGGAGGTCAGAGAGGTGGGGGTGTGCAGAAGAGTGGAGGGATTTGAAGACAAGGGTGAGGATCTTGAAGTCGATCCTCTCTGGGACAGGCAACCAGTGCAGTCTGGCAAGGACTGGGGCAATCAGGGAGCAGAGTTTCATGCGGGTGAGAATGCGGGCGGCAGAGTTTTGAATGATTTGGATTTTATGGATGTAGTGGATAGGCATGGACCAGGGTTTCAGCGGCTTTCAGAGAGAGGTATTGGCGGAGGCGGGCGATGCTTCAGAGGTGGAAGAAGGCGGTGCTGGTGAGGGACCGGATGTGGGGGAGGAAGGATAGTGTGGAGTCCTGTAGCTCAGTGGTTAGAGCACTCGCTTTGCAAGTGAGAGACCTGAGTTCAATTCCAGGCAGGGCGAAACCTTGGGCAAGTTTCCTTACTCCACACGCCTAGTAATAATCTCTCCAAAAAAACAATAATAAATTGGTCATTTTCAATCCACGACTGTTTGTGGGACATTGCTGTGCGCAATTGGCTGCCACGTTCGCCCACAAATATACAGTCAATTCACTTTACAGTATATTCTGTGAAGTGCTTTGGGACGTCTAGAAGATGTGAAAAGCGCTATATTAAATGCAAGGATTATTATTATTAGTTGGGGGTCGAATCTGATGCCTAGGTTGGTTACGGGTTCAGAGAGTTTTAGGGTTGAGGTCGGGTAGGTGGAGGAGGTGAGAACAGTGAGATTTTAGACGTTGATGAGAGCCAAAGAGTATGGCTTCCGTCTTGTCAACGTTCAGCTGAAGGAAATTTGTGCTCATCCAGCCTCTGAGGTCTGACAGGCAGGCTGACAGAACATCAGGCGACAAAGAGAAGTGCAAAGAGAGGAGGAAAAATAGAGTTGGGTGTCATACATGTGGAAGTGCACCCCATGTCTGCGGATGACATCTCCAAGAGTAAGCATGTAGATCAGAAAGAGGAGGGGGCCAAGGATGGATCCTTGGGGTACCCGGCAGGTAACCCGGTGAGAACGGGAGGAGAAGCCGTTGCGCAGATGTACTGCTGCTGGTTTGTGAGGTAGGACTCGAACCAAGCGAATGCAGTTCCACCGAGGTGGATGACGGAGGAAAGGCGGTGGAGGAGGATGGCATGATCGACTCTGTCAAACGCGGGGAGAGGTCCAGGAGTACAAGGAGGCAGAAGGAGCCCTGGTCACAGATAGAGAGGATATAATTTGTGGTTTTCACAAGCGCAGTCTCTGTACTGTGGGCAGAGCGGAAACCGGACTGGAGGGGTTCGAAGAAGGAGTGGGCGAAGAGGTATGAGCGGAGTTGATTTGCAACAACGCGTTCTGGGACCTGAATGCTCTGAAGAGCAAGCCTGTAATAGGGATTAAAACACAAATGGATAATATTTATTAACTGTGAGTTATCTTTTCCCCAACATATTGAAGTTCCCCTTTATTGGAAGCAGGAATGACTGAGTGATTGATACCCGATGGAAATAGTGGATACAGTTTGTTATCAATACTTTGATTTCATTTAAAAAATAGAGCCTAAATCAGTCAAAAACATCAGAAGCTCTCTCACACGACAGCAAGTGGATAAGTAGAGGCAAATCCTACCTAAAGGAGTAATCCCATAAAATTCAGCTTCATGTCTCAGAACATTAATGTTCACTCCCCTGCAATTCAGAAAAACTACAAGTAATCAGACAGATTATAACAATCATTTTCCATTTAAAACAGTTCAAAATCGAAGTCAAACAAAATAGCTTTCCTAATGGTTGTTTTAACTATTTGTTTTATCAATTTAAGTATACAGATCTTCAGATTGAAGAGATTACTGGATTAAAGATTCATATCCTTAAAATAAAGGACATAATATGCATAGGGAAGAGTACTTACTCCTGATGTGTACTAGGTAGGCAAGGAATTGATTTATAAGAATCGTAAATTAGATCCTTCTAACCCTAAATAGTTTCACCACAGATTAACATTTCACCCTGGTGTAGTTGGGGATGCTTTTCCAAAATTAGAATCATTTACTTTATTCTCTACCTGAAGCAAAGCAATTCTGATTCAAGCTCGAGTCTTTCGGAGGAATTGTTCAGAAACCAGCAATGCTCAATAATCCTAAGTGAATCTGCTTAGGCCAGAGGTGAATGGTTAAATCTAGCAGTGAATTCTTATATAGTTGCAAGCAAGACTGAGCACTACATTTTATCTAGAAGGAATTTGAACAGTACCACTTGATTATATGAAAAAATGTTTTATAGATTTGAGAAATGTTATGACTTACAAATACTTTGGAATACTCATGTCCTTGTGCCAGGAGATCTAACTGGAACGTCATTTTAGGAGAGAAAGGGGAGAATGTACTGGTGCTGATTCAGATTACAGCAAAGATGCCAATTGTACAAACAGCTTCTTACCTTAAATCTAATTCCTTTGTTCGAAGAAAATTCAGAATTGGTGCAAATGCTGTAGGATCCCGGTCAATAAATATCTATGAGGGGGTAAAATATGTTGTAATAGCAATAATTCCTTGTATTTGAACAGTATCAAAATGTATCAATTTTTAAGTGAGTACGTAATTCTGCAGGTTTAAAGTAAATGACTTAACAAGGCTTAATGTTACACAGCAGTAGTGAGTGGAGCATGGGGAGGGAGCAGAGGATCAACAAGTCCTCTTTTCTCTCCCCTTTCTTTCTTTCTTTCTTTTCTATCCCAAATACATGAAGCAGGAGCATTCAAAAGAAATTCTGCTGTAAGGTTCTCGTCTCTATGCAAAGAGAGTGACCCAAAGTTTGACCAGAGGTCAACATTTTTTTGTAGCCTGGGCACATGTGCACTTTTTTCAAACTACTCCAGAAGAAATATCAAGAAAATTCTTTCACTCTTTAATTGTTTAAATACAAATTTCTCAAAAGCAATTACTGACAAAAGTTTTACAATTACGGCAACTTACTACAAAAAAGTTACTTGAGTTATATTGCACTCTCCCACTAGATGGCAGTGTCAGACACAGCAAAATCACATACTGGATGAAAGAAGGGAATAACATGTTTTTCTTTCAGATCTAGCTGCAGAATTGATTACATCTTTCTCAATGAGCATTTGTTTCATATTCCAGATGGGAGTAACATAGCTTCATGACTCAAGGACGTCTGATACTCAAATTTAACAGCTTTAATAATTCGGTCATTCAATCCACAACTGTTTGTGGGACACTGCTGTGCGCAATTGGCTGCCACGTTTCGCCCACAAAATATATAATCAAATCACTTTACAGTATATTCTGTGAAGTGCTTTGAAATGTCTCAAAGACATGATAAGGCGCTACATCAAATGCAAGGATTATTATTATTATTAAGAAGCTCAGCAAGTCAAGGAGTAAACAACTCACTGTGCAGGACACCTGCTCTCTATTCCACCCAGACAGCAGTGCCTACTGGGGCAAGTAGCCACATTAAGAATTAAGTGAGCAAAAAAGGAAAGAACCACTTTTCATCGAAACATTCTGATGGTTGTGGCATATATGTGGCATATATATAAAGCCACCTTGCTTTCCTGATCAATTACCTGCCTCCAGCCAAAACTGTATCACACTTATCAGATTCTGACACTTGATTATGCAACATACCATAATAATGATTTACACCCATCAAAAAGAAGCCAATTTTAGTGGAAGCAAAATCGATCACACTGTCTCTTGTGTGTCTTCACCTCACCACAAACTTCCACACTGACTACTTCCACACTGATCTACCCAAAAGGAATATGAGGTTTAATGATTTCCACCATCATTCAGTCGAACTAACCATGAGTAAATGTGCACACTTAAAGTCTCAAGTTCATTATCATTAAAAAATGGTCTTTTAAGTAACCCAAATTCACCATCAAAGGGCACCACTTCTACAACCCAGTTGTAGATATTCCCAGTTCAATGCACTTTATAACTTCAATTAACATCCTCTCTTACCATAACAATGGCAAGCTATGCGGCTTTAGCTGGTTAGACTTCAGCAGTACCCCCAAAACACACTCTGGGGTCCCCCAAGCCTTGGCACTTGCCAACCTGCGCCTAATACTTTCCAGAATTAGGTAAGCAGGGTGTGTCCTTCCAGGGAGTGAGTGCGCATTCCATTGCAACAATCTATCTCTGGGATTTCCATATGTAGGTGGGATGCATGGAAATCGCAGCTTGATTTGGATACTCTTAAGCATGGTGATGGGTTTCTGCATGTGACAGACACCTGGTTGACTAAAAAAAATCTTAGCATAACATTACTTTGGAGTCCTGTAGCTCAGTGGTTAGAGCACTTGCCTCACAAGCGAGAGACCTGTGTTAGATTCCCAGCAGGGAAAAACCTTGCGCAAGTTTCCTTACTCCACATGCCTGATAATAATCCCTCAAGAAAAAAAACAATATTAAAGTGGTCACTTCAATCCTTGACTGTTTGTGGGACACTGCTGTACGTAATTGGCTGTTGCATTTTGTCCACAAATATACAGTCAATTCACTTTACAGTCTATTCTGAGACGTCTAGAAGATGTGAAAAGCGCTGTATCAAATGCAAGTATTATTATTATTGTGCTTGAACCTGCTCAGGATAAAAAGAACACAGGACAGCACTCCTTGCGTATCTACCAGTTCCTTGTGACATCAGCCATCTTTCATTCCTGAAGTACATTCAACATAAGTTACTCACTATTCAATGAGAGGGGAGAAAATATAGAAGTTCTTCTCTTAAGCCATAAAATAATAACTATACTTTACAAAATATCCTGTGTAGCGTGCTTTGAAACGTCCTGCTGATGTGAGAGGTGCTATACAAAATCTAAGGATTACTATTACATCACAATTCCAATGTATACTACCACTAATTAAGACTACCTGGACTTACGTACAAGGTCTGCCTGTACAGTAAAAGTATTTAGTTTAAACATAGCAAAATTTGGAAAAATTATGGCATTGTGAATGACAACAACAAAAACTTGCACTTATATAGCACCCTCCAAGCAATATAGTGTCTCAGAGCGCTCATCAATGGCGGAGCCTGACTCCAAGCTGGAGGGGAGACAGGGAGATGACCGTGAGCACGGTCGAAAAGGAAGATTTTAAGGCAGGACTTAGGAGAGAGGAGGCAAGATTGAGGGAGAGTGTTCCACAGTTTTGGAGCGTAGTGGCTGAAAGCGCGACCTCCAATGGTAGGGCAGAGAGTGCGAGGGATGAACAGGAGGTCGGTGCCAGTCGACCAGCGACGCCAGGTGGTGGATTGGGAAGTGAGGAGTTTGGAGAGGTAGGGAGCTGCCACGGAGTGAACCAATCTGAACACGAGTGGGGGGGTCTTGAAGTCGATCCGTTCAGTGACGGAGAGCCAGTGGAGCCTGACCAGAACTGGCGAGATGTGGGTATGGAGTTTGGTCCGGGTCAGTATGTGGCAGCAGTTCTAAATGAGCTGGAGTTTTTGAATAGTGAAGCTGGGGAGATCATCGAGGAGTGCATTTGAGTAATCCAGGCAGGAGGTGACAAACACATGCACGAGGGTTTCAGCTGCATTTGGGGAAAGGTACGGTCGGAGATGGGCAATGTAGCGGAGGTGGAGGAAGGCGGTCCTGGTCAGGGACAGAATGAGGGGGAGGAAGGACAGCTGGGGGTCGAACCAGATGCCTAGATTGTACACTGGTTCGGTGAGTCTGAGGGAGAGACCAGTGATGTTGAGGAGTTTAGATCCGCAGGAGTGAAGACAATGACGGGAGCCAAAGAGTATGGCTTCCGTCTTGTCCACATTCAGCTGCAGGAAGTTGGGGTGCCTGGAGCATAGAAAAAATGAGCAGTATTCTGACCTCTCACTTACAACTTTATGACTCGGAAAGATAGCAAACTCTAGAATAAATGTTACAATACAGAATTACAAAAGCTGAAATCTTGATAATCTTTACATGAAACAATCCTTTGGACAACTTTAAGTAGGAATGGTCCTGTATATAAAAAATATATATTTTTGCAAAATAATGTTTGCTGAGTCCAGTAGGATACTTTTCCTATCACCTATTTACAGAGAAGCTGTAATAATAACTTGCATTTATAAAGTACCTTTCACGTAAAATAAATGCCTCAAAGCCCTTTGTAAAGTAAAATTGTTTAAGAATGGGTGAACAATGCTTTTTTTAGAAGGGGAGAGATTGGAATGGTTAGCGTCCAGAGGGACTTGGGTGTCCTTGTACACCAATCACAGAAAGTTAGTCTGCAGGTGCAGCAGCAATTAGGAAGGCGAACGGTATGTTTGCATTCAGTATGAAAGGATTAGAGTATAAGAGTAGGGAAGTCTTGCTGTAACTGTATAGAGCCCTGGTGAGACCACACCTGGAATACTGTGTCCAGTTTTGTTTTCCTCATTTAAGGAAGGACATACTTGCCTTGGAGGGGGTGCAGCGTAGATTTACTAGGTTAGTACCAGGGATGAAGGGGATGAGTTACGAGGATAGGCTGACCAATTTGGGCCTATATTCTCTAGAATATAGAAGAATTAGAGGGATCTTATTGAAACCTATAAGATCATCAAAGGGCATGATAGAGTAGACAGTGGGAGATTGTTTCCCCTGGTTGGAGAAACTAAAACCAGGGGTCACAACCTTAAAATCAGAGGCAGCCCTTTCGCACTGAGTTGAGGAAGAATTTCTTCACTCAAAGGGCGGTGAATGTATGGAACTCACTACCCCAAAGGGCTGTTGACGTTCAGTCCTCGAACATATTCAAGACTGAGATAGATAGATTTCTTATTGCTAAAGGGATTAAGGGATATGGGGATGAGGCAGGGTTGGGTTATTAGCTGGAATTAGATTAGAAGATCAGCCATGATTGAATGGCGGGGCAGGCTCGAAGCGCCGAATGGCCTACTCCTGCTCCTACATGTTATGTTATGTTAATCTGCATCAACAAACTCCCATAAACAATGAGTGACCAGATAATCTGAATTTGGGATTAAGGAGAGGAGGGGGAATATAAACCAACATTGACTCGGAAGCAGGGAATGGCGAGTGCCTGGAGCAACCCAATACAGCAAAACAATGCGCAGAATTCTGACCTCTGACTTACAACTTTACGACTTACTGGGAAAGACTGCTTTCAAAACACAAAGCAAATGTAAAACAGTGCACTCCTATAGAGATCAATGAAAAAAAGTCTTTAAAAATTTAAAAATTAACCAAAAGTATCAACGTACCGCTCCAGTTTCATCACGTAGTGTTGAGATTCTCCCACTCAGCAAGCTAGAACAGACATTAGCAAATGGTTATTTTGAAGGTCAGTTATATCTGAATAGTGTTGAACAGTGGGGACAGTTTGTAAAGAGGATGAATGGTCCTCTTGTGCTTTTAATTCAAGTTCAGTCTCCAAACCCACAAATTGAATGGCAGCGATACCAGCTACAAGAAGGTGTCTAATTTCAATTTTTCTGTGTGCGCATTTATACTAATCCTTGCATTTGATAATCCTTGCCTTTCCCATTGGACATGGCTGGGTTATGCCTTCACTGACAGTCACATATTCCAATAGTATTCCAATATTGCAATAATAATAATCCTCGCATTTGAAATAGCACCTGATTACATCTTAGAGCCATCTTAAAGCCCTTCACAGAATATACTGTAAAGTGAATTGACTGGATATTGCGCACAGCGGTGTCCCACAAACAGGATGGTAAATAAACTGAGTAGCAATAGTGAATATAAAATTGGATTGTTCCAGATCTAGAAAAATGTCCCATTGAGTTACTCGGGATAAAAGAATAACATGAAACACTTTGTTTCCAACAGAATAAACACTCATAATGGGCAAGGTTAAAGCTCAGATCATACAGCAACATCTTAACTCATTACTACTGCTGAGAATTTCAGGAATTTCCATTGTGTCAACAGCTGATTGGTCTAATTTGATGAGAAAAAGCCATTGTATGATTTTGGATCTGAGCCTTTCTGAAGTATGTACAGCCTAAACCTACTTACTACACACAATGCTCAGATATTCGAGTTGCATTTGAAACTTCAGAAATCAACAACTACTACTTGCATTTATACGGCACCCTTCACGTGGGGTAGCATCTGGGGTCGCTATCAATCTTACCTTGAGAAGAAGGAGTCTGGAATCCACATTAGTGTTTGTCTTGAGGTGCTGAACCTAGAACCACAGAAAATAAAGCGACAATATTTTAATGCTTTTGCCCAGGACCAATAGTTTGCAAACACATTCCATGAGGATAGATTACACACAGGGTTTCTGAATTGTTTATGAATCTGTTTTGAGAGGTTATTTTTTTTAGCATTTTTAAAGCAATTTTAATTTTGAAGCGTTTATATTCAGAGTTTTTAGCGCTCTCGTTAGTGTAGTGAGAAGATATGCCTGTGCACATGGACGGGAAAGAGGTTCCCTCACACATGGGCAGTGTCTCCCTCCTATCAAACGCTCCACAACAACAACTTACATTTATATAATGCCTTTCACGCAGGGTGGCGTCTCGGAGTCTGACCCCAAGCCAGGGGGAGAGGGAGGAGGAGGTGACCATAAGCAGAATCAAAAAGTAAGGTCTTCAGGTGGGAATTGAAAATGGGAAGGCGAAGGGATTGAGGGAGGAAGTTCCAGAGCTTCGGGGTGCTGTGGCTGAAAGATCGGCTGCTGATGGTTCACCTGATACGTCTTGCACACACAGAGGAGGGGCAGAAAACGATATACTTGCAGTCAGCACACCAGGATATCCCCAAGATCGAGAGAGAAAACCTCACCTGGGAGTTACGTCAGGATAGGTATTTCTAGTGTTTATTGGATAAAAAAAAAATTTTTTATTGGATATATTTTATCGGGGAGTTTCAGTTACAATCTGTTCCCTGGATCTTTATGTCTTGTAGAACTTGTAGTATGGACTGTAAAATTTAAAATTTAAAAAATGACTTCTCATGGCAAGAGCAGAAGTTTTCAAAGGCTTGGCTTCAGTGCAGAAACCATAATTCCCTTCGATTTCAGCCTCTGCCATGGGCTATGATCCAGAAATTGCTCAGTTTTCCCAAAACAGGAAGCTAATTTCTAAATTGCAGTTGCTAGAAGCTGGGTTCAGCCCACAGTTTCATTGTAGTTAACAACATGCCACTTGTTTGGTGTTTCTGTCTGAAAAAACTTTCAAAGCACTTTAGAATTAGACTTTTAATGCCACAGATAGTGCTTCACATAACCGGAAGCACACAGTAGAAATCCAGACCTGGAATTCAGCAACTCTAACCCAGCCAGCTATGAACTCAGAACAGATTAATAGTTCTTTAGTGGTTTTGGGAGACGAAAAATGGGTTATTCTCTTCATAAGCACTGAAAAACATGTTAATTTTGTTAACTAGCACACACAGTATTCAAAACACAACTTTTTTGAGGTCTCCAGCAAGTTACGACCTGGACCAATAGAAAAGTGCAGCTGCACATTTTCTGCAGAATCTGCTACAAATGGCCCTCCACTACAAACCTGTACCCACAGTGTGTTAGGCCCAGGCCTCTCGAGGGACTCTGGACTCACATGCGTGGCATGGGGAGGGTTGGGATCGTGGAAGCTACACAAGCAGGAAATCGGCTTCGCTAGTGAGTGACCCACGAGAGACATACCAGCTCCGTCTCAATACTGCCGTCTGTTTGCTCGACGACCGGCCTAAACTGAGCTCCTGTGACAAATTCTTCGTAAGTGCTGTACTAGTCAAATTAATATATTTTGTATTTTAAATTACCAAACCTACAGCGTATTCTCATCCTCAGTTATTACAGTTTAAGAATCGAAAATTAGAACTTTCACCGCAGTGCTGTCACTAAGTTTGGATTAGCTGATAATACAATTGCACATTATAAGCCTTGTACAACAACAACTTGCACTTATAAAGCACCCTCCATGCAGGATAGTGCCTCAGAACGCTTAACAGAGCCTGACTCTGAGCCTGGGTGGTGGGGGTGTGATCACAAGCACAGTCAACGAGGAAGGTTTTCAGATGGATCTTGAAAAAGGGGAGAAAGGGGGCAAGGCGGAGGGATTGAAGGAGAGTGTTCCAGAGTTTCGGGGCGCAGTGGCTGAAAGCACGACCTCCAGTTGTGGGGAGGAGGGTGTGAGGGACGAGCAGGAGGCCGGTGCTAGTCGAGCGGAGGAACCTGGTGGTGGATTGGGGTTTGAGGAGGTCGGAGAGTTAGGGAGGTGCCAGGGAGTGAAGGGATTTGAACACGAGTTTGGGGATCTTGAAGTCGATCCGTTCAGTTATAGGGAGCCAGTGGAGCCTGGCCAGAACTGGTGAGATGTGGGTACGGACTTTGGTCCAGGTAACTATGCGGGCGGCAGAATTCTGAACGAGCTGGATTTTTCGAATGGTGGAGCTGGGGAGACCAGTGAGGAGTGCATTTGAGTAATCCAGGCAGGAGGTGACAAAGGCATGCACGAGGGTTTCGGCTGTATTTCAGGTAAGGTACGGTCGGAAGTGGGCAATGAGGCGGAAGAAGACTGTCCTCGTCAGGGACCGGATGTGGGGGAGAAAGGATAGCTGGGGGTCGAACCGGACGCCTGGATTGGACACTGGTTCGTGAGTGTTAGGGAGAGCCCCGGGAGGTTGAAGACTTCAAGATCCTCAAACTGGGCCTCTTTCACAGAAAGAGTAAGCACTGTATGAAAACCCTAAAATGAAGCTGAACTAAACGTCACATCATTAAAGCTTTGCTAAGATGTCAGAGACAAGAATACACTTTTTGATGGGATTTTTTGTGGGAATTTTTGGAGCATTTTCAGAAGTGTTTTATGCAGTGAAGGCTAATGTGAAGAGATACTGTAATTATGTGCGTTTATAATAGGGTTTGTTTAAGTGCAGCCTCTGAAACAGTCATTGCATTATTATAAGCAAATTCTATGCACCGTGCAGTGAAGCCCTTTTATAATGATAATCCTTGCATTCGATAAGAGCATTTATAATGTCAAAACTTAATGTTCAACTGCACATATTACACAATGGGTAGGTTGCTCAAGCTGCTTCAAGGATAGTGTCACTCAGGGACACACAAAATAAAAGACCATAACTAACAAAAGATCACTATAGATTCTGAATAAGTTTCCTGATTTGCCAAAAGAGCAGGTATTATGAATACAAAAAAATTTGCAGTACAAGTAACCTAAACACATGAAGAGTAAACAAACCTAAACAAACAAGCAAGGATTTATTTTTGTCTTTAATCCAAAATACACAAATTATGTTGAAGTACTTGAGATATTTTGCCATTTTTCATTATGTTCCGCAGATTCCCCCCATCCTGCATTCTTCGGGTACAATTGTCACAAACTTGTAACCATGAAGGTAAATCAAGCATTTTCAACAATGTTAGAATAAAATTTATAAATAAAGTAATTATGCAATATATCCCTTCCCCCAGAGCTATACGATGTTTTGATAAACTCCGCACTATATACAGGATGATCAATATAAAAAAATTACAATTCTGTAGCATCTTTCACATGGGAAGGACGTCTCAAGGTGCTTAAATATTAGAGAAATACAGATCAGGTATCTGAAAAATGTTAATGGGGCTGAAATATAATCCAAGAGTTGAGATGAAGGGCAAAGGCTATTATAGTAGTTACATTTAAATAGTTCCTACTTTATATTCCCTGGCAGTGAAATCACACACTGATGAAAGAGTCTTTCAAATAATCCCCTGCCCAACCGCTGGTCCTCCCCTCCTCACTCTCAGGTGAGATGGTTTAAACAATGGCTGATGTTTTAATGGTTAACAGCAGCGAGAGTTGATCCGGCTTCCTGGAAGGTGAATTCACATTCATGGAAAATGAAACAAATCCTAGGCTAATCACTGCTGAGTTCTACTATTATTGTTGGAAGAATATAAAACAAAATCCAGTTACTACTTCCAAGTCACCTGAATTTCAAAACCATTTTACAGGGGGACACTTATGTCAGTCACGCATAATATATGGGTGATCAACATAATTTCCTGTAGGCTGCTCCAATCCTATCCCCAAGTACATCAAAATAGTGATTGAGTGAATTTAACCCTTAGATTGATGGCAGTTCCAGAGAATTCTGTATCTCCAGGGCTGAAGACTGAAACTGTTTTTAAAACAAAAGGCACGTTACATGATAAAAGTTATCAAGAGGTCAGAAAATAATAATAATAATAATAATAATCCTTGCTTTTGATATAGCGCTTTTCACGTCGGGAGGACGTCCCAAAGCGCTTCACAGAACACACTGTAAAGTGAATTGACTGTATATTTGTGGGCGAACGCGGCAGCCAATTGCGCACAGCAATGTCCCACAAACAGTCGTGGATTGAAAATGACCAATTTATTATTGTTTTTGGTTTTTGGAGGGATTATTATTAGGCTCTGTGTGGAGTAAGGAAACTTGCCCAAGGTTTCGCCCTGCCTGGAATAGTTGTAATAGAATGTAATGTATACTTTAAAAAAATTGCATATCCTTCTATATTCTTTCTACTTGCCATAATACATCCAGTGTATGCATTATTTTAGTTTTTATTTATTTTTCATTTACTGATGGGAAACCAGTGGAGTTGGGCGAGGATGGGGGTGATAGTGTCACCGAGTCCGGTGCGGGAGAGGACACGGACTGCAGAGTTCTGGATGACCTGCAGCTTATGGAGGGAGGAGTTGGGGAGGCCGACATGCAATGAGTTTGCATAGTCAAGTCTCGATGTAATGAAAGCATGTATGAGGGTTTTGGCGGCCTGCTGGTGTAGGCAGTGGTGGAGCCGGGTGACATTGCTGAGGTGGGGGAAGGCAGAGCGGGTCATGGCACAGATGTGGGATAGAAAGGATAATTGAGGGTCAAACAAGACCCCAAGGTTCCGGACTGGCTTAGTAAGGTGGAGTGTGCAACCATGGATGGTGATGCTGTCAGCGTCTGAGGTGAGGAGGCACTGACGGGAGCCAATCAGGAGAGCCTCAGTCTTGTTGACATTCAACTGAAGAAAGTTAGTTCTCATCCAGGACTTGATGTCTACAGACATTCTGTCAGGACAGCAGTGGTCCTGGAGTCAAGGATGGAAGCAGAGAGGTAGAGTTGGGTATCATCCGCATACATGTGGAAGTTGACCCCATGTCTGCGGACGATGTCACCAACAGGGAGTGTATAGATGTTGAA